TGTATCATTATTGAATATATTCCCAAACTGATCGAGTGATCACCAAACATTATTATTATGATTACCAGACAAAATTTGTTTTTAAACTAGGCCCAAAGAGTTGTGGAAAAGAACTGAAAATAGAAGATATCACCCTGTATATACGATTGTGATCGAAAAAATTCACAGATTGCGAAAAACACAGGGTGTTTTATTTAAAGAAAAAATAATTTGTGATTTTCCACGCTTTCAGAGATCTCCCAGTAAAAATTCTGATAAAGGCTGTGGAGAAGTCTCATCGTGGAATTCAACTTCTGCATATTGTATTTTATCCCCCATGAAAAAATAAATATTATATAGGGGTGTGCCTTCTCGAACCTGTATACCACCGATCATAAACGTTTAGTACAATAAATCCTAACGAATTAGGTATTATACTTTGTATTACTAATGAAATTGATACTCGTAGCGTACTCTATATTCTATACCTGAAACTCCTGAATGATGCGGAATGAGGAAGCAGTAGAAGGACACAGGTTTCTTGATAAAATTGTGCGCTGTTGCCAGCTTTTCCTTTCAATCAGTGCGACCACCTTGGAGGTGCATAATTATATCTTGATATAAAAATTCCTTAATTAATTGACAAAATTCAATACGCTCAACAAACAAGTTTGTCCTTGTGACTCTAGTGGAATATTCACTCATTACTCGCCATATTACAGATACAGAATTACAAAATATATTACAGAATAGGCTACATCCTGTTACATTTACAATTAAAATCAACAATTAGGTACATCATTTGTATGTGGACAGCTGTGAGCTGATGCATTTTTGAAGTTTCAAGCTGAATAGATTTAATTCATTTATTCACCATATAATATTAATGGACATTCTACCTATAACAAAATAGAGGCATTTTTTTCTTCCCTTATCTGGAGTAGTTGGCATTTATATAGTGGAACAAGACAACTAGGAGGAATAGGACGATTCCCAAAGCATTCGACAGAATCGCTAGATGTACATCCGTCACCATTCTGCAAAAAATAATAGAATCAGAAAAATCATATACAATCATATAAAAATTGATGTTGGTAAATATTAGTAATTTGTAGCTTGGCAACACCGACCGCTAACTTACAGACATTTTGTCTATGTGGCGCCACATGTGCTGTCACTAGTGGCACTGTCAGAATCAGAAATCAGTTTGTGAAGTCTTTGAGAAATAACGAGATTGATTTCAAATGAAAAATCTAAATATACAATATTTATAAGATAACGAAAACCCAGAACTAGTGAAACAGTGCCTCATAAATGTGAGCAGTACGGCAATACATCAAATGTAAGCATTGTGGTATAGTTATTTCATGAACAAAAGTAGAGTAACGGTGATATTTGGCTAGTACGGAACCTTTTTTTTTTTTTCGAAGAGAATAAACACAAATTTCACGGAATGTACATCTTAACTTTCTGAAAATAACTATATCAGCCGTAATAAGACTTATTATTCATGAAGGCAACTTGGTTTGAATGTTTGAAGAATCAACAGGATTCGGGAATATAACCCCAAAATCTCCCAGGCAGTATTTATAATTATAGATAACGATTATTATGCTCTAAAATTTGAGGAAGAATGTTTCGTACTCACTTGTAGATGTTTCTAAAGATGTAGAGATGTTAAAAAATGTTTATTTATTTCACCAGATTTATAAAAGCCGCAGACTACAAAAAAGTGCTACAATTCATCACTTGCACTTGATCGTATCTCAACAATGTTGTCAGATTGCTTATGCTAAAATCCGATATTTCCGATTTTCTGTTTTCTACTTTTAGTTATTATTAGCATTGTCATTATTAGAACAGAAACAATACTTTAATTATTTTTATTTCGCCAATTTTATATAGTTGCTATTGATTATCTATTGAATCCATCATTTTGGTTACTGTTAAATTCAATAATATCATTGACAATATACCTACTTATTTATTTTCAACAGAACACCTTGTTAATGGATGAATATTTGAAACAACTTTCGAACACTTTCGAATTTGACTGTTTATGAGTTGAAATGTATGTCATGAAAGTAGATTGAAATAAAAAGATAACCCTGTTCATACTTCAATTGCTTCTAAAAATGTTCAATGCCTCAGATGATTCTTCAATCAATAACATGAATACCATTAGAAACTTGCATTCTTCAAAACCAGTTGTGCTTCATTCACTGATTTCCTAATTCATTTCTGACATTCAGTGGTAATTTGATCACGAGGCAACGTTGCCAAGAAATGACACGTACCCAATATGACGTCGCTGACTTCAGATCATAGAGAACATAGATCACAGAACAGAGTTCTGTGACATAGATTCATTTATTTTCACAGAAATATACTTCACATGTCACAGTTGTCCACTTCTTCTCCCTGTGTTGTCTGTCCTTTTTCCAGGGCCGTCTTTAGCCTTGGTCTTTAGCCACCCGGGTCGTAGAATAATAACGAATATCAAAATGAACATGAACAAATGAAGTAATAACTGATTCGATTCGGCTAATGGCTGTTAATGAACTTTTATGAAGGAAATTCAAAATAAAAATATGGCACAAACGGAATAATTGTAATCAAACTTGATTCCGGAAGGGCATGGTAGGTTTTAATGCGATTTGATGCGTTTTGAGTCGTTCTATAAAAACTTCATGGATGATGGCTTGGCCAAGGGAAAGAGGCATTAATTTCAATAGTATACAGTGTGGTCATTTAAGTGTGCAACATATGGGAATCTTTTCAATGAATTGCACAACCAAAATACAGATAGTGCCAAAAGTTGGTGAATGTTCGGTAATCATTTCAGGTGCACTTATAATGGTTGCAAGTCACACAGCATACAGGGTAGGTCAAAAAATATAAAAATTGCTCAAGAGTAAAGTACTCTTATTTCAAAAAATTCAGCAAAATGTTATTGAGAAAAGTTGTTGACAATTGAAAGTTATGCCTAAATACCAAAACATGGCCTCCTAAGACATTTTTTAGTTCTTCAATTTTGTTCGTTAACAATTTCCCCCCAATTTGTAATATTTCAAATACCAAATGTGCACATTGAATGGGAGTTTTTGAATATGCATATCATCAATAATGATGTTTTACCTTGTAAAAAATATGGTTTGCGAAATTTGAAAGTTGAGCTGAATATCGTTGCAACAAACATAAAGTTTGTGATTCTCTAAAAAAATTGAAATCTAAGTAAATTGCACAAATATGCTTGAATTTGAACAAATGTATGCTCAACTGATTTTGGTATGACTAATTTATGAAAGTATTCAGGGTGAATATGAAAAAAATTACAGATTGGGAAATTATTCACGAACAAAATTGAAAAACCAACCGTCTTGAATTTCCAAATCCCGCCCTTTCCGAATTTTGACAAAAGAATCATAATCTACGACCCCGAAAACACCCAGATAAAAATTTTGAAGAGAGTCGGATCATAATTACAATGCTCGTCTGCGATATTGGGTCCTCCATCTTAAATTTTCCAATTTTGACGAAGGAATCATAATCCCTGATCACGAAAACCCCTAGGTACCAATTTTGAAAAGAATCGGATTGGAATTACAAAACTCGTCCGCCATATTGGTTCCGCCATATTGAATTTCCAAATTATGCCCGAATATTCAAATTCTGACGAAAAAATCATAATCTCCGACCTCGAAAACCCCCAGATACCAATTTTAAATAGAATCGGACCATAATTACAAAACTCGTCTGATGTATTAGATCCGCCATCTTGAATTTCCTAATGGTACCGGGATAAAAACAAGTATCCTATAACCCTCTCCTGGTTCTAAGCTACCTCCCCACCAATTTTCAGCCGAATCGACCCAGTAGTTTCGGAGCCTATTCAATACATACAAACAAACAAAGAAACAACCAAAACTTTCCTCTTTATAATAGTAAATGAACAATCCATTTTTCTAAAACAAACAATCCTTTTTCCAAAAACAAAAGACTGAAGATGAGAAGAGATTGCGAACAATCATCACTATCATCAGTATCATCAGGAATTTAAAAAGTCGGACCTTGATTCGGACACATTATAAAAACAATTTCCTATGAGAAATATTGCCAGTTTTGTTTGGAGATCTCTTCCTCAAAGAGCACAACTCTGAACTTAACTCATGGTAAAGCTTCAAATCAATGAAATTTGATTCCGATTTTGTTAACCTGTAACGTGGTAAGGCTATTTGGTTAGCTGATCTCGTTCCATATTCATAAATATCTGTTTGAGTGAATTTCACAGATAGTTTGATAAATATCGATATATATATACAAGATAGTGCCATTATTTTCATTTCCTTGCAAGTTTGAATGAAATAAATATATTTTTTCTACATTCATGCAAAAAACAGAACTTTATTGAACTATATTTAGTGGAAAAAGAAGTTCTTTATTGCACTTAGTGCAATAAAGTTTTTATTGCACTCATCTGTCATTCTACTTCAACGTGCTGTCATCATGACAAACATTTTCTATAATGCAACTGTGGTTATAGAAACGTCAGTCAAAAATTAATTCTGACAATTAACAGAATTGTACCTAGTGCCGCACCTCAATAAATCATTTTTTGCTTTTTGCATGAACGTAGAAAAAATGTTGTATGCAACTCGTGCAAAAATTGTTTATTGCACTCGACGTGTTGTCCAACTCGGCCTAACGGCCTCGTCGGACAATTTCACGTCGAATGCAATAAACATTCACTTTTTGCACTTTTTGCATAAATAACTATTTTCTGTGACGGGAAAAAAGTTTGACATTTAATCTCTGTTGACAGATTATAAAATGTCACTTTTCATGGATTACTTTGTTCCTACGGGAAAAATAGTGAGTAATTTTTGTGCAAAATCTATCTATCTAAAAGCTCGGCAAGAGGCGGTGTTTAACACCGGTTCCGCTCCCATTTGGGCGTGTCCTAGGATCCGAATTTTCACCAAAATTTTCCATGGAAAGAATCGTGATTCGTTTTTTTTTCTAGTTACCATGCTCGTCGCTTCAGCCTCTACCACGATAAAATTCCACGAATTTCCTTCTGGGAATGTTATCCACAACTACCAACCCGGTTCCAAAGTCGAAGGTCCTATCCGAAGTATCTCTTGGAGCAAAGATGGCAACTGGCTGGTATTGGTTCCCCATTCAGGAGTCACAGAAATTGTCAGTGTCAAAGATCAGCTGAAATTGCTGAAGACCATCTCAGATATAGATGAGCCCACTTGTGCTGTGTTCCAGAACAGTACCAAACGAAACATTGCTTTGGGAACCAAAAATGGTTTAGTTGTTATTTATGATGTGAAATCCCATAGTACCAAGAAGCGATTTCCTAGGGCATCCAGTCAGATCACGCATCTGAGCTTCACATCCAAAGATACACATTGTGTAGCAGGCTGTAAGAATGGGGATGTTATGGTTTATAGTAATATTACTAACAGTCCCCCATGTAACCTTAGAGTGCCAAAATCTGGGTCTATTAATTGCCTCAAGACCAGCCAAGTTAAAAGGAGTATTGTGCTAGGTGAGCATTTTTCAATTCAGAATATGACTTTGTTATAGGAATTTCCTGTCGTGCATTCCAAGAGATAAAAAAAAATGTTGATTCCAAAATACAGTTGTCTATAAATTTGAATTGAACAGATATATTCAAAAGTATTGGGTATCTTATGTTTGTTAATACACAATGAAAATCATAAAGTCTTAACTCAATATTTTCAAAATAAATAACTCTGCTTTCTTGGATTCCTATACTCTCTTTGTTGAATAGAGTATTCCATTCATTATTGACGTAGAAACCCGATGATTAGCGCAATTATTATCTACAATATTAATTACAAAAAATGTCCAAATTTCCATGCATCTTATATATTATTATTCATTAATATTGTATTCATTTACTTATGATGGCACCAATGATATAATACTAGTCAATCAACAGCTACCAGTTAGCAATCATACCTAGAGAATGAATTCAATTGACTATTCTGGAATTAATTTGACTATTCTGAAATATAATTGATACCTGGATTGATACTTTCTGAAATACAAACCAATCTGTCAATAAAGTAAAGTTTACATAACTATGAAGGATACCCAAAACCGTTTTTGCAACTCTTGATCTTCAATGAAAAGGGAGTTTGAAAAGAATCATATTTCTTTTTATGTTAAACTAATGAAGTAACTCCAATGTTCTCAATCTCTAAAAGAATTAATGGAAACTAATTAATGGCAGCGCCAGAATATGGGATAATTATTCGAATTCGAGAACGTACGTGATTGGTTCGACGTCACAGGTCAGCCCGAATCGGCGATAACGACATATTACAGAAATTCGTGCGGAACTTTTATTGTATAAAATGAGTAGGTACTTTTTTTGCACTATTTCTCATCACTTTCAGGGCTTTAGATCAGTTAACTCAACTGAAATCAATTTTTTGTTGTTGTTTTATTGTCTAAAGTATAATTTTACTATGATAATGAAGAAGTTAATAAAACAATTCTCAATCGGTTTAAAACCAAAATAGTTGAAAAACAATGGAAACATCCAACAATACAAAGTTGATTTCAACGTGATCACCGTAATATTTCATCTAGCGTTGGCAAAATTTTTTCAGTTCCCGTCCCGTCAATTAGCATCACCTCTTAGACCATATTTTACTTCAGTCCTCTTGCCAGGTAGCATTTTTGGCACCATATATAAAATCAATAGAATGTTGTTACTAGAACAATTTAATACATAGGTACTGTTTGTGATTTTCTTCGATTATGTGACTTGTACTTCTGATACCAACAGGAATTAGCGTATAAAAACGATTTTCAGACCGAATCGATCGAGAATTTCGCGTGGAACTTTTGTTGTACTGTGGTTGCATTATTTTTCATCACTTTCAAGGCTTCAGATCGGTCACCTCAACTGAAATACTCTTTGTTTCTTAAGAGAAATGAAGTTGATGGAGTATTTTTCCAATAGGGTCATTTTCTGGAACAGACGTTCTAGTTAATGCGTTTTTAGTTTAGAAGGCAGGTGAATATAGTTGTTATTGAATTGAATACGACATGACATTTTTAGGACACTCTAACCATCAAAATGAGTTTATGAACCCTAAATCTACTGATTTCAGACTAAACTCTGAAGATGAGTTCATCATGATTTTGGATTCTTAGATTGTAGAAGTTTCTATTGAACATTTAAGGAGGTAGGAACGAAGGGATGGTGGTGGTCTGAGACATCAACACGAACAAGGCGAGGTTCACAGCCGAAGCGCACAAAGTCCCCGTGAACTCCTGGCCTGGCCTGACGTCACTTGTCAGCTCGAATCGAGCGATTACAACGACATATAGCAGAATTTCTCGTGGGACTTTTGTTGTACTGTGGTTGCACTATTTTTCATCACTTTCAAGGCTTCAGATGGGTCAACTCAACTGCAATACTAATTGTTTTTTGAGAGAAATGGGGTTGATGGAGTATTATTCCAATCGGGTCATTTTCTGGAACAGACGTTCTAGTTAATGCGTTTACTGTTCAGATACTGATTCTTAGATTGTAGAAGTTTCTATTGAACATTTTAGGAGGTAGCAACGAAGGGATGGTGGTGGTCTGGGACATCAACACGAGCAAGGCGAAGTTCACAGCCGAAGCGCACAAGGCCCACGTGAACTCTGTGGCCTTCTCCCCCATAAACTCCGACCTCATCCTCACGACAAGCCAGGACAGGCAGTACTGCTCCTACGATATCGTGAAAATCGAATAATTATTTGGATTCAAGAACGTACAATGCCTGGCCTGACGTCACTTGTCACCCCAAATCTAGCGGTAACAACGACATATTGCAGAATTTCGCGTAGAACTTTTGTTGTACTGTGGTTGCACTATTTTTCATCCACTTCAAGGCTTCAGATCGGTCAACTCAACTGAAATACTTTTTGTTCGTTAAGAGAAATGAAGTTGATGGAGTATTATTCCAATCGGGTCATTTTCTGGAACAGACGTTCTAGTAATGCTTTTACAGTTGAGAAGGCAGGTGAATATAGTTGTAATAGAATTGAATACGACACGATATTTTTTGGGTACTTCAACCATCAAAATGAGTATGATCCCTAAATCTACTGATTTCAGACTAAACTCTGGAGATAAGTCTCTGACAAGAAGAGTTCATCATGATTTTGGATTCTTAGATCGTAGAAGTTTCTATTGAACATTTTAGGAGGTAGCAACGAAGGGATGGTGGTGGTCTGGGACATCAACACGAGCAAGGCGAAGTTCACAGCCGAAGCGCACAAGGCCCCAGTGAACTCTGTGGCCTTCTCTCCCGTAAACTCGGACCTCATCCTCACGGCTGGCCAGGATAGGCAGTTCTGCTTCTACGACATCGTGGACCACAAGTGCATCGCCTCTGTGCCGGTGGACAACAGCGTGACTGCGGTGGACTTCAGTCCTGACGGCACCCATTTCGTGACCGCCTTCCAGAACGGCAGGGCATATGTGTACGATTCGAGGAACATCAACGATCCGGTGCACTCTTTTCAGGTACAGAATGAACCGAGATTGATATATCATAGACAAAAATCCTCTAATTTTAGAAACTGTGATAAATAACGATCTGAAATTATCTGAAAAATGGCTCCACTCTAGCCTTTCACCAATGAATACCAGAAAAACAGAATACATGATTTTTCAACAAAAAGATAAACAAAATCAATCTGTTGCTTTCATTAAAATTATCAATTTGCTAACTCTGTGCACAACCACTTAATGCCTCTGCCAATATCAAATAACAGTAGGTATCTCAGCGTACAAAGGGGTGTGTTCAAATAAGTTTACTCATTTGCGTTCGAAATTTGTCAGATTTGGTATATGTTACTCTATGGATGTCATTCGAGAATACTGGAGTTTTTGACGTCGTGTTGATTCTTGTAACTACAAAATAGGTGGGTATATTTTAATCCTCTGATTTGATGCAGTTATTACAGTTGGTTCTGTTTGTTGCAAGTTGGGTTAGGTCGATTTGAAACACAGTTTATCCCACAGACAGGTTTGACTGAAATGGGTAGCATCATATTTATATATATATATTTATTGAGGTTCATTGGGTATGCTTTATTGGTGCAGGGTGATTATTCATATGGGCAAATATGAAGTATTTTTCATGGGCATTCCGAATCTATGTCATGTTTGTATATTAGCATCAATTATAAAATTCAAATTGGAATATTTATAAATGTGTTTGACTGACTGAATGAATGCTGATATTATAAATTTATATATGTTTCTTGTTGATTCCAAATAAATCAATTTATATATACATTTGACTACTTTATTTTGAGGGATTCTAAGTGGCTTTATAATCAATAAACTAGTAAAAATATTAATAATTGTGAAACTGAATTGATAGAACATTAAAGACGTTTGATACAGATCCTCATCTGATTCCAGGCACACACGAGCTCCGTCAAACATTTGGCGTTTAGAGGGCTGCAGGAGTCTAGCAATACGAGCGTTTGTAGCTTGTCCACGAAGAGTTCGACGCCGGTGGCTTCCAGCGATGATGTCAATAGAAATAACAGGTACGTTTCTTTAATAATAAAGTTGATTGATTGATTGATTGATCCCCAATGAAAATAACGTAACTACTACCCGCGGGTCAAATTGACCCGTAGTCAATGTTAAGATTTTTTTCAGCCTCATGAAAAAGATATTCAACTGAGCATGTGATATTCATTATAGATATACATATTTTTCGCACACTGTCCACAAAAAGGGATTGAGCACTTGTGGCAGCTATTGCTGGCTTACCTGTCATTTCGACATTGACAACATATGGCAGAGTGGAATAACATCAAAATCATAGGAAAGGAAGATAACAACCAAAAAAGAAAAATCAAGGAATCCGCTTGCATTCTTCTAAACGGGGACAATAGCATTGATTCCTGTTCAGTTGATATAGATAGAACATGGTATTCACTACTGAAAACTGAACATGAAAATGGTAGATTCAAGATCAATTAATGAAAACATCCTGTAACTCATTTGTAGACTAAAATCATTCATTCATATGCCAACATCACTGTGACACTGAGAAGTGTCAAACTATAAGCAGCAACTTCCAAAAAGAAATATTTTGCATTTTTATTTCGAGAACGGGAGCAGATTCGGTCCCGAAACGTCCAAAGATAAGTGAAAATTCGATATTTTTTCAATATATCTATATTTCTTTCCTTCAAACATTTTTCAAATAAATTGTCACTGACAAGCTACTGGATTTTTCTTTTAGGCTCTCTGATAGAAAATTTTGTTGAACGCAGTGACATTTTGGGGCAAATCATCTGATTTGTCCCACTACAAATATATTGAAATAATACACATATTTCAATTTTATAGAAACGAGGAGAGAATATCCCAAAAAATCAAGTAAAATGAATAAATTATAAAAAAATACAAGGGGTGTGTTGGAACAAAACAGCCCCACCATCTGACATCTATCTCGCCACTCCCTTTCCAGATCGAGCAGGAACAGCGACCTCTTCGGCCTCTTCGTCCCCACCGCCGCCGCCTACGACTCGGCCGACGACGCCAAGCCTCCCCCCGCCGCCGCCCTCTCGATGGAGGGCGGCGACTCGTTCATGGCCGCCCTCGGCCTCGACAAGAACGGCTCGGCGGACTCGTTCCGGCAGGAGGAGAGCGGTGCGTTCGGGCGCACTCGCGAGCGGCTGCCCAGCATCGCCGATATGCCGCCCACGCCGTCGGAACTTATGATGGGGGCGGGGCGGAAGGGCGGAGACAAGCAGTTCTCTTCCACGCCCAAGTTCTTGGGCGTGTCGACGCAGCCGGAGATGTCGCCGCAGGTTCGTTGTCTTTGTTTGCTTTTCTTCTGTTATTTTAGACGGAGAGCCAGAGCCAAAAAGATTCACAGTTTATTACAGTGGTTTTGTACACAAACATACCGCTGTCAGTCAAGCGAAACTGAGAACAGTTGTTCCTGGTATACTACCCACTGTGCAAAAACTCGTACTACTAACGTTGATAAATAGTAACCAAGGTACATTGTAACGTTATGATTCTTGTCCTATTCACGTCTCAAAGACCGTTTTAGAGTCGTTATTATGTCCACCAACACTACAAAATCTCAGTAACGTTAAATATGATTCAATTCGATATTCGATATTGTTGTTGTTCTTTATTACCCCAAGAAACATATTTGTTTATAATAGGGATACATAAACATATGATATATATATATATATGAAACAATAAAAAAAACTAATTGACAAGTTATGTCAATATAACATAATAATTAAAATAAAACCATTCCAAGTATTCAAATGAGAATAAATTGCTCCGTTTATTGTGTCATGAGTAAATATTTTTTCATATTGACTTTGAATCTTGTTTCATCATCAATATGTTTCAAATCATAAGGTAATGAATTATATAAAATGATTCCGTTGTAGAATACTGATTGTTTGCCAATGATGGAGTTATATGGGTTTGCTATTAATGAATTCAACTGTCTCGTGCATGAGTATGAATTGTATTTACTTCAGTAAAGTTCAAGTTGGATATTTTTATTTTTTTTTCTCACAAAATGGATGAAAGAACAAATTTTCATTTTATATAAAGATGATAAATTCAACAGATTTTTTGGTTTGTAAAGATTAATAGTTGGTTCCAGGTAATGTAAATTGTAAATGCACTTAATTGTTTTATTTTGTAATTTCATTAATGGTTTCAAATGTGATATACTTGTGCTTCCCCAAATTGATATTAAATATAGTAATTTTGAGTAAATCAGACAGAAATATATATTCTTCAAATATCTAAGAGGAATGAAATTTCGAATTTTGTATAAAATGCCAGTAATTGGATTGAGCTTTTTTCTCAGGTGATCTATATGTTTAGTCCACGATAATTGTTCATCAATATAAAGACCTAAGAATTTTGTAATATCTAAATATTTTATGGCTTTCTGGTTGAAAAATATTGTTGTTTTCAACATATCAGTTTTTCTTTTTGAAATATACATTTACGTGGATTTGTCATAGTTAAGGGTCAGCTTATGAATTTGTAGCCAAGATGATATCATTTTCAAGTCACTCTTTATATCATCAACTATATCGTTGAATTCTTTAGAGGAATAGATTATTGTAGTATCATCTGCAAATAACTTCAGATCTCCTTTTAGTTTCAAAGATGATATTGAATTGATGTAAATTAAGAATAAAATTGGACCTAAAACGGAACCTTGTGGTACACCACTTTTGATTTCTCTTACGGAGCTACAAATATTATTGACTTCAACATACTGCTTTCTATTATCCAGATAATTTTTTAACCAATCAAATATTTTTCCTCTGATACCTATTGAATATATTTTACTCAGTAAAATTTCATGATTTACAGTATCGAAAGCTTTACATAAATCTAAAGACAAGAGACCACATTTATAATTTTGATCAATTTTAAACTGAATATCCGAAATTACATCCATAACTGCTACCTCAGTGTCTTTCGATCGGCGAAATCCATATTGACCACTGTATAGCAGACCATTATTTTCAAGAAAATCAAGAATGCGCTTATTCATCATTTTTTCAATAATTTTTGAGAGGATCGGGAGAACTGAAATCGGTACTTTCCATTACGGTAACTATCGAATGAAATCATCACCATCATCCTGTAACGTTTTAGGTCAGGCCCATCAACACCAACGGAAACTTCATCGACAGAGAACGCATCCAGGAAGCAGCCAGAGAAGCGGTCAAGGAAGAGCTGAAGTCTCTCGTTAACGACCTCAAGTGCGACATCAAGTATCAGGCGACCCACACCACCTATCAGCTGAGGAGCGTTCTGCTAGACATGCAGATGGCGCTGGTGAAGGAGTTCATCAAGCTGGAGGACTTCTTCCACCAGGTGAAGGAGGAGCTGAACCCGGAGTCGAGATACGAGAACAACAACAGCTTGGCGGAGGAGAACGAGCAGTTGAGGAGGAGGAACGAATTTTTGGAGGAGCAGCTGAGGATTTTGAAGAAGGGGGAGTCGTGACGACGATTTTTATAATGGCGTGGTGGAATAGAAGTTATTTTTGTACTCATCTTTTGATATATTATAGGATTTTTTTCATATACTCGTATTTCTTTCCTGCTAGGGTTTTATATGAACATAAGGTTGAAACCTGTTGTTTGAAACTGAATGAACTAACCTCCTAACTGAATGATAATGTTTCAGGAAGGGAAATGATTTGGCTGGTGGAATCAAGTCAACTATCAGGACCAGGCTTGGTGAACCTAAGGTAAGTTATGTTTAAACTTGTACGAGTGAAGTGAGGATTTTGCTCATGAAATGATTCTTGGAGACCATTGATTCTCACTGATCACTCTATATCAAAAGACTACCAGTAAATATAATTTTGAATTCATTCATACTTGGCCGTAAAAAAAATAAATTGAAAATGTTCATTTCAAAACTCACATTTGCGCCATTTGAAATGGTGTCAGTTCATTGATGTGACTGGTCGTGTTACGTATTAGTTCCAACACGCCTATTGTCCTTGAGCTGACCAATCACTGCAGAATCGCAAGGTATCAGAGAGGGATATAGCTACAATTCGGGACTAATACGTCACGACTACACCTTCATATCTGGCTTTCTGAAATATCGAATGGAATATGCTGATTTCAAAATGCTATAGAGATTCAATTCCTTTCAACTTCAACTTATAATATTGATTGTACGTTAAATGTAAATTATGATTCATCTATTAAAAGAGGTTTGGACGCAATGGTCTTCCCCGTAGTGTTGTAGGAAATTTCGAATATAGGGATAATGTGATCATTCACGAAAGATTTGAGGAATATTTTGAAGGAAAGTGTGGTTAACGTGCTGTTGGCTGATGATTGGCATCGACTTGAGGTCGTTCGCGAAATATTCGAACAATTTTTGAGGAGTGTGTTCAATATATTGTTGAAATTGACTCGAGATCCTCCACGAGAGATTTTTGAGAAAGTTTGTCCAATATATTTTTGGCTTATAATTCAAATTTGTTTGGCGGAGGAGAACAAGCAGTTGAGGTGGAAGAACGATTTTTTGGAGATGCTGCTGAGGATTTTGAAGAGGGGGTTAGCGAGAGATAGATTGAGGATTTCACAAACGAAATGATTGCAATAATGGCGTAGTGTCTCAAGAAATTTCAAAAACAGGGATAATGTGATAGTTCACGAAAGATTTGAGAATTTGCTAATATTTCGCAATTACATGAACAAAAAAACATGCATACTATGCCTTGGAAATTAGAATTATATTTTGCAAATGTTTGTGAACGTAGAACTTCTGATACTATTTCTGCTGAAACAAAAAAGTTAAACCCGTTGAAAACTGTGGATATTTTCTAGTGGTGCTCCGGCCTCAGGTGGATCACACATCTACGGATGATATGGGTCGCAGATGTGGGATTGTGGGAAATTTTTCAATTTCGCAATTTTTTATTGGCAAGGCAGTATATTTGGTTAGTACTGTTCTGGAATTTATAATAATTTTTTCAATATATATGGTTTAGATACTTTTGCCTGTGCTTTAACTAAAATACATGAATGATTATTCTAAAACCTTCCTTATAATAATGTAGGTACCCTATAATGCAGATTATCAGTCCACTTGTTTTTCATTGTTTCAACTTCACTAATTCTATACATTATAACTTCATTTGAGATTACGAGATTCTCAAACCCATATTGGTAGCTATATAATTAATTCATGATCAGTTGATTATAGTTATCGATGAAAAACCAGTGAAGAGGAAATTTTTTGTTAAAATGTATTTATTCCACAGTAATGGTTAAAAAATTACAGATTGCACAAATTTCCATCAGTTGGGTAAATCTATGGGAATTCTCGATTAGTCTGTTTCGTTCTTGCTAAGAATAAAGGACCATGTTGAACTTGAAATATATTTTCGTGCTTTCCCTTTTTATTGGTGACATCTTTTCCCAGGTAGGTTGGTATGAAATATTTGGATACTTATTCCAGTTTCATTTTTATGGATCATTATTTTTCACTACTTCCAATTCACTTTCATAGAACTGGTTTCGAGTAATGGCAAAAAATGGTTACATTATCACTTTGATGAAAGTATGAAATGTCATCAATATACAAGCGATGATAATAAAATTCGATTGATCTTGATGATGAAATGATGATTGATATTTGAAAAATGTAGTGCCCCAGCCAACATGTTTTTGTCGTTTTCAAACTTACGTAATATGGTGATGAGTATACCTACACGTTGACAACACTATAATCACTAATTTGATTATATACTGGATGGTATATTATACATGTGGAATGTCACATAGCCAAACAAATGATGGACAGGGGAAATCGAAACGAGTTGATTGATGTAGGTATATGAAAAGTTTATTTGAACATCAATTTAGATAGATGGCGTTTTGCCTAATTGCTCTGTATCTGGAATTTTTCTTGAAAAGTGACCCCAAAGTCAACAATATTTTAACATCAAAGTTATATATATATATATAGTAATTTCATGAAATACCCTTTACGTGCATATAATCTAATGAAATGGATGGCCAAATTACTTTTCATATACAGCAACTCGTTTTGGCACTGTGGCCTTCCTCCTGAAGCACCTTGTTTTTGAATAGACAAGAATAAAAAAATATGTTTTTCCACCACTAGCTATAAAACCTTCCATTATTTACTCCTTTTCGAGGCGTAAAGTGTGATCTGATGCGAGATTCGCAAGAATATCAGTCGGATCTAGTAGGTATTTATCAATAACGACTTGTCATTATTCTGTCAAGGTCATGACTGCTATAGATATTAATTAGAATTGAAAAGAGGTGCTTTTATAGTGACAATAGGTTCATATTTCAGTTTCACATGATCGAAATGTATTGCTAGTGGTAAAAAAAGTTTAATATATACCTTGTTAATAATAGTTATTTATGTTTCAAAAGCGTAAAATAGGCTTTTATGGACCGCAGCGTGTAAGTAATAGACCGAGCGATAGCGAAGGCTATTAACACGCCTAGGTCCATAAAAGCTAGTTACGCCCGAAATACATACAACATTTTATGCACGACCTGTATATATTTGATATCTCATGTAGGTATCTCTTCACCCCTCAAGCACAATAAAAATACATCACGGTTGCAGTGAGACTGTATTGTATCCATATCGCAAATACAATTAATCAATAAGTATGGAATCAACGTTACCATGACAACTCAGTCAATTTTTCGAAATAGGAATTAATAGGCCAGTAGCCATATTAACTGTCAATTTGTGTAATCATACATAATTCATTAGTGATTTCAAAATAAATTCTAGTGATGAAGAAAGTGTGAATTGTACTCCACCAGAAATTAGTGAGGCAGCTGAGGAAGCAAAATCGAGTTTATTGCCAAGTAAATAACAAAAATATACGACAAAGTATACGAAGAATTCGTAAGCTGGTGCGATATGACAGTGACATTAGCTTTACCACCAGCTCAATGACTTTATCGCCCGCCGGGCGGTAAAGTAGTCCGCGGGCGGTAAAGTGCCACTTTACGCCTGCAAACCCGGGCGGTAAAGTGCTACTTTACGCCCGGTCGTGCATAAAGAATATTATAACCACGGGACCTTATACCCCTCGGCTGAAGCTTCGGGATATAACCTTGGTCCCTCTGGGTGATACTGATACTCTTTACTGCCTTGGTGTTCAAATAACTATTTTGAGATGATGATTTCGTACATTCTAGAAGTTCCTAACGGGATTCACACATTTCAGGAAAATCCTGGCAGTCATCTCAACACTGTGATACGTTTCCATCGTGAATGTCAATCGCAGACAGGAGTTTCTGATGCAGTAGTCTTTGGTATCATCTCGGGAAAATTTCCCAGTGATCCCGCATTCAGAAGACATATTCTCTGCATGAACCAGAAGATGGGATTCCAAGACAATAACGGAAACATCAATAGAAACCTTATTTCCAGGTCAGTAAAGAAATGTTAGTCCGTCCTCGAATGATTCATATCATTGATTCTTATTCGCCCTAACAACACCAGTACATCCTAGGGACTTCCCATGGACGTTCCTGATTTTATACTAGGACATCCCAGGGATGTCCTTTGTCGGGACAACGTACATACTAGGGATGTCCCAGGGACATCCGCTGGCCGCTAAAAAAGGCATCCAAGGGATGTCCTTCTGGTACGTCCCTGGGATGGACCAAGTACGATGAAGGGATATCCCTTGGACGTCCCAAGGATATCCCAGGGACATCCTTTCGACAAAAGAAAAAAGTTGCAGGTCGAGTAGGGATTGAACCCGGGACCTTTGGCTTATCATGCACGCACCTTGCTCCATTGGCTATTATGCCTCCTGAAGATTTATGTACTAAACAGATTTATAAACAGGACTTAACTACAGAAACCTGAATAAATACAACTTTATTAGGAATTGGGTATAATTATTATCATTCTTGGGTGTTTAAAAATGAGGGGCATTATGCATGTACGATTTCTGTCTGCGAATAATGGTAATTTCTTAAGAAGTTCTGAGACTCTATTCTTTATTTTCATTAGAATCATTTTCCGGAAGAGAAACAAACATTTTCGAAAAAATTCAACTCAATAGTTTGATGAAATTCAATGACTCTGATGTGAATGGATATCAGATACTCCAGGGACACGAATAGGATAACCTAGGGATGTACCGGGTGGGATGTCCACTGGACAACCACTGCAGGACATCCCCTGGATGTCCCAATCATGTCCTTGTACCGCGGGACAAAAAAGGGACGTACCTAGGAAATCCCTGTGTTGTTATAAGGGTATCTGTCCTCGTTTGACGCATATAGCAGGGAGACAATTATATACACGGAGTGCGCACTACTGCGCACCTCTCATCAGTAAATATCTAATCAATGAATTTCAAAAGTACCAAAATTGAGCTGAATGTACTGTACTGAATTGGATGGGTATAGAAAATATAAAGACTGGATTTTCCCAGTGAGATCACAAATATGCATTTTCAATATTTTGTTGTAACATATCAATTCTGATACAAATAGCAAATAGATTTCAAGATATACATCAGGGACATGAATGACAACTCAGGGATGTCCCAGTCGGGACATCCCCTGGAAATACTGAGCAGGACATCCTAGGGATGTCCCAATCATGTCCTTGTACCGACAGTACACGTTGGGACATGAAAGGGACGTACCTAGGATGTCCCTGTGTTGTAATCTCTGTACTATATAAGAAAGCATTAAAAGTACTGTATCGTCTTCCATATGTCACCACATCAAATCGACTTTATGAAGAAACAAATACATTTTCTTTGCATGAGCACTATCTGATCAATACTCTCAATTTTTTTTTTGACATCAACAAACACCTCAAATCTAAATCCATATTGGTAAATAATTCTCAAATCCATGAACATCATACTAGACAATATGACTTGTTTCATCTTGATGCTGCTAATTCTACACTTGGCCAAAAAAAGTTTACTCACGGAGCTATCTCAAAATTCAATAAATTACCTGATGGTATCAAAAGTTGCACAAATATCACCCAATTCGAAATTAAAGTCAAGAAACATATCCTGTTGCAAAGAGAAAATCAAACCTGAGTGAATGATTTCTCATTCACTAATTCATTTCATCATGTCATAATATAGGTATACTTTTTATGAGATTTTTGTTTTTTATTATTATCATTTTTGTATCTGTTGTTTATTTCAATAACTTAAATTTAATAACGCATGAATAATCTCATACCAGATATGAATATCTCTGATTATGCATCTTATTTCATTGTAAATCTTAATAAAATACATTTTTATTTATATGATATGCAATGTAATGTTAATAACAAAGAATGAGATAAATATTATCATTACTAAAAAATCTATATATTCTTAGTTATGAATTCACTACCGTTCAAAAGATCAACCTGCAGAAATAAAGGCGTCTCACATTTTTTTCAGTTTGAATAAAGGTTTCCTCTTCTCCTTTTTTAGCACTCTACGTACAGCAATGCCAAATGGTAACATTGAGGGCATGGTGCAAAACTGTGCAGTTCAAAGGGCCGATCCAGAAGAAACTGCTTTCGAGATGGACCAGTGTTTCTTCAGGATATTCCGTTCAAAAATGGGCTGATACAGTCATGAGACACATGATTCAATTATTTAACTACATTAGATTAGATAATTGGAACAGTTGTCATAACGTACCATTTATTTAAGCACCTACTCTTTATTATGACAGAGTAGAATAGATGAAATCAAATTATGTAGGTATTAGATGATGAATAAACTAATGTCTCTCTTCGCAGTTAATACATCAAAGACTTTCAAACTCTGAGCCTTTATATTTTTTGGCATTTAAGACAATATATTCATGTCATTCATTAGGAAATAGGTATGGTGCAAGCTTGCAACTTGGAATAAATTCGTATCATTAAATCAAAAACAATAATTTTATTATCGGAAAAATTTGCGACAGGTCAAGTTGCGGTTTTTATGGAAAAAAAAATTTAACACGGAGTGTTCTAAATTTCAGTTATGGCAACCCTAGTTTTTTTATTACTATATTTCTAAATTTCCAAATCAAATACACAGCTAATACACAACTCGATATTTCTAAATCTAATGAAGATCGAAATGAAATGTTGAATGAAGGTCTTCTTTTGTATACACACACTTTTGTGTATACATTGTATAAAGATTATATTTAAGAAATTAAAAGAAATTAGTTCTTTCGCCTATTAGGGAGGCTCTTGGAATTGAGGACATTTTGTCGACCTGCAAGTGATCTCAACAGAACAGAAGTTAGGACACAGCTGAACTTCTGTCCTTTTCTATTTACTATATTACAATAGTTTGAGTGGGTAAAAGAATAAGGCATTTATTCTGCTCTTTGTCTTTTCAATGTCCCTAGTAGCGCCTGATTGTCAGATACGCTTTTAGAGGTTAGATTTTCTGTCAAATTAATCATTGTCGTAGATGGAAAATAGAAATAAAGGTATAAACACCCACTTCAATTTATATAGCGATACACTTTTCGCAGAACAATAGTTATAAAAATGGGAAGAATTCATGTAACAACATTTTAATATGATAAAATAGACACATATGGATATACTTATAGCTAGTTCCTCATTGTATGTAAAACTGTACCCGAGTGATGAAGTGTAAAACATGAAGATTGTCTTGATTTTCCACTTTTTGCTGCGTTCCCTTTTTGCTGATAAATTTTGAATTTGGTCGGTATTGAAAACGCCATTCAATGATGTTATATCACGTTGCAATTTACTTGATTTCCTCAGTTTCGTTCTCAAATTTTCAATTTCATTACGTAGTTTTGCAATCAATTCCTATTTCTCTATGAAAAATTTGTTTTGCATTTCGTCTCATGATAATATTGTAATTTTTTTCAATAGTCTGTTTTGTAAATCAATGAAACAACGGATCTTATAAACCTTCTGATTGAAAATTGGCCCAAAATACAGTTTCATTCCAATCTGCTATTATAAGTGATTAATGTATTCACTTAATACCTCACAAATTTCGCTTGTCTTCTAATTAATTTTCCATCCAGGCCGTTCCATACATTCCTTCTATATTGAGTGATTGATTGTCTTCATTACCCCAAGAAACATTATTGTTTATAATAGGGATATATACAACAAAACATACATATTACATAATAAATCGAAACAATGATAATTGCACAATTATTGTTTTTCATATAAAAAAAATTAGAATAAAAAATAAAATGAAAATATTATAATCCATTACAAGTAATCAAATCGTGAATGATTAGTTCTATTAGTAGATATGGAATTGAAGTTTACTGAGCAGATATTTCTTTAATTTGCACTTTATTGTGGCTTCAAACGTGAAATATTTGTACTTCCCCAAATAGATATTAGATATTGTATATTTGAATAGAAAAGACAAAAATAAATACTTTTTAGGTATCTAACAGGAATTAAATTTCGAATTTAATGTATAATACCAGCAATAATAGGATTCAATTTTTTCCTCAATTGATCTATATGTAGAGTCCACGATAATTGTTCATCAATATACCGGGTGTAACAGGATCATGGTACACCCCCCATATCTCCGGTAGTTTCAGAGGTAATTGATTGGAATTTGGGATATCCCATATACATAATGAGAGGCACTTTTTGAACTACGAATGATTTATTTACCACTTCCGGTTTCGCCGGAAGTGATACCAACTTTCGATTTTTAAATGGAACACCCAGTATATTATTACATTTCTGAAATCTGCATAATTTTCTGAATCCAATGATACCACATAAGTGACATTTCAATCGTAAAAATTTTTAATATTTTTATTTTTAGTTTTCCATTTAAGTGTGCCATGATGGTTCCGATTTATTCCAATTGACCCGTCTAATGCTAGAAAAATCGAAATCCTCTCAAAAATACAAAATTGCGTTTTTTATGAGCAAATAAAGTTCATCGTAATCGATTTTCGGGTAAAACTCAATTTTTTTCAAATGGAACCATATTGGTACCGTGGTACCATTTATTAGTACTATTAATAAGCAATTTATCCATACCTGCTAATAAAATGTGCGATGAATACAATCAAAATCACAGCTAAAAGAGAATAAGAAAATACAATTATTTTGTTCTAATTTAATGCTAAGAAGTTATTGGGGTGGCTTTGAATTACAAAAAAAAATTCAATATATTACAAAAATTGTTCGAAATGCTGTCCATTAACGTCAATGCACTTCTGAACTCGCATAGCTGTTTCTTGAAGAACGTTCGCTAATTGCCTGATTACCTTCGACAGGCATTCGGAGAAAACGTTATTCCGACGAATGGTCCTGTGCGATGGCCTCCAAGGTCACCTGATTTGACACCTCTTGATTTCTTTGTTTGGGGCCATTTGAAAAACATTGTCTATGCAACCGCCGTTACAACTCGCGAAGACCTGGAGTTGCGAGTAAGACGCGCAATTAATAGTATAACGGCCCAGCAATTAGCGAACGTTCTTCAAGAAACAGCTATGCGAGTTCAGAAGTGCATTGACGTTAATGGATAGCATTTCGAACAATTGTTGTAATATATTGAATTTTTTTTTTGTAATTCAAAGCCACCCCAATAACTTCTTAGCATTAAATTAGACCAAAATAATTGTATCTTCTGATTTTCTTTTAGCTGTGATTTTGATTGTATTTATCGCACATTTCATCAGCAGGTATGGATAAATTGCTTATTAATAGTACCAATAAATGGTACCACTGTACCAATATGGTTCCATTTGAAAAAATTGAGTTTTACCCGAAAATCGATTACGATGAACTTTATTTGCTCATAAAAAACGCAATTTAGTATTTTTGAGAGGATTTGAATTTTTCTAGCATTAGACGGGTCAATTGGAATGAATCGGAACCATCATTGCACACTTTAATGGAGAACTAAATATTAAAATATTAAACATTTTTACGTTTGAAATGTCACTAATGTGGTATCATTAGATTCAGAAAATTATGCAGATTTCAGAAATGTGATAATATACTGGGTGTTCCATTTGAAAATCGAAAGTTGGTATCACTTCCGGCGAAACCGGAATTGAAAAAAAAATCATTTGTAGGTCAAAAAGTGCCTCTTATTATGTTTATGGAATATCTCAAATTTCAATCAATTACCTCTGAAACTAACGGAGATACGGGGGGTGTACCATGATCCTGTTACACCCGGTATAGACCTAAAAATTATGTTCCATTTGTATATTCAATGGATTTGTTATTGAAACATATTGGGGTATTATTCAATATATCCGTTGTTCTTTTTGAGATGTACATATACGTAGATTTACTATAATAATAAATAAGAGTCAACTTATTGGTCGTTAGCCAAGATGATATTTGTTTCGAATCATTTTTGATATCGTTGAAATCTTTCGAAGTATAGATTATTGATGTTGTATCATCTGCAAATAATTTTAGTTTTCCTTTCAATTTTAAAGTAGATATTGAGTTAATATAAATCAAAAATAAAATTGGCCCCAAAACTGACCCTTGCGGTACACCACATGTAATATTCATCAAGGAACTACGAGTATCATTCACATCAACATACTGTTTCCTATTCTTCAAATAATTTTGAAACCAATCATGAAATGAATAAAGGAATGGTTGATATTTCCTTTCGAAAATTAATCATTCCAGAATTACGTCATTTGACAGATTGCTGAGGGGCAAGCATTGTATTTTGTCAAGATTTGTCATATAAAACCAGAATTTGTGGGATCGTTTTCCATTGAATCCGAGTTGGAACCAGAAAGAATTTCATAATTTTGTTTGGTGAAACTGTTATTATATTGTGGATGTGGGCAGGGATGGCCAGGGCTATGCTCATCAAACAGATAGTTTGTGTGCCCCTCAAGAAACCATGTCAAAATCACGTGTTCTAGAATGATCAATTGAAGAATTCCCGCAATTCATTCATGCTTTTCTCTCAATAGTTTATGAAATTTTATTTCAATTCTGACGTTCATAAAATGTGTTGTCAAATACAAACAATTTTGAATAAGAAAGCGCGGAACGACTATGATGTCGTTGTCACAATGCACGTTATGTAACTTAATAAATCTAAACATTCAAAAACACTTACAGTTGTCATTTCTGTGTCCGAACTCCCATCTAACTTAGGAGTCCCCCGTGGAAAAAAAAGTTGATACTTGTACTTATTTATTTATTTATTAAAAATAATTTATTCAAATAAATATCAGTAGGACACAATGTTACTACATATTAAACGAAATTTTCCAACATCTCACAGTACGGAGAAAACATTGAATTTATCGGGTGTATTTTCATAGAAACAAGTATGCACGTAGTAAGCGGTCTCCTCAGGACTACCCTTCTTCACCAAACACTTATTTATGTATCGCTCGATCGTGCTGGGGTCGGAGTACTGTTGAACCAGCCTCTCCCTAACTTTTTCATGGTTAAATTCTCCGAGTTCATCGATGTGCCCCGTGTTCTTGTACACGCAGAAAAGATGTTTTTTGCCTTGAGGATGGTCATGGAATTCTCCTCGTTTGAATTTCTCGATGAGGGTGTCTTCGATGGAAGATTCCTTCCTGCATTTGGAGTGGATTTGCGCAAGTTGTTCTCTCTCCTTGCTTATGGGATTCTGAAACATTTTTTGATTGATTGGTTGGCAGCTTCCAAAACTTCACTCAAACAGAAATGGAATGATACATTTTTCTACGGCTATAACACAAAATTGCTCTTGTTTTACTGTATTCGATACATCAATGAGGTACTTTGTATATCAGCAATTTTATTTCCGTATCTGATATCACAATCACTCCATTGTGTTATTATTTGAAAAAAATCTCATCGCTCATGGAGTGTCAAATTTCAAAAAATGACATCTCTGTCTAATAGGTCGCGTGCAAGAACTGTCAGATGACCGACCCTGGAGGCAAAACATATTTGTTTACAAGTGATCGAAATAGTTTTCCACAATTATTTTGGCATAATTATGAATCGTATTTTTCCGCAATTCATCAATTCGCTAATGCCATCACATTGTGCTGTTGTAAAATGCACAAAAACTGCAGTGGAAGATGAAGAAATCCAGATGGTACATACATGTACATATGATTCAAAAGTAAGTACCTACTATATAGTCACTCACATAGTTTTCATTTTTGAAATTTGGTTATTTCTCTGATTTCTCATCGGAATTCCTTCTGCAATAGGATCAGCTAATAGAAATATACCTGAAATTTCTAGAATAATGCAAGAAGATTGGATTCATGCAATCAATCGGTAGGACTGGTCTGACATGCTGACGATCGTGTGTGTTGTAGACATTTTCAATCTATTAGCAGCATTAGCTTGTATTGCAGAAGTAGCAGAAGGCATAAAGAATTTCAATAAGGAATGACAACATTTCATAATGCTAACTATGTGAGATTACTATTTACCTGAAAAATCATATTCCCTAATCTCTTGCTGCATTTTTTGTGCATTGTACAATAGCACAATGCGAAGGCATGCTTGAATTAATGAATAACGCAAGAAACACGATTCGTATGCCGAAATATTGTGAAAAACTATTTCAACCTTTTGATTCCTCTGCAACCAAATAAAAAAGTGAGGTTGTGTTTCAATAATTCACAGAAGAATGAGGTTGTGTTTCAATATTTTGCCTCCAGGGTCGGTCTTCGTGCACGCGACCTATAGATGAGCATTACTTGACAGGCAATCAGATTGCTACAAGACGAAGAAATCGAAAATGCAGCTGTTACCCAGCAAACATTCATTTGCGGTAAACTGAAGGCCCAATACATTGCTCCCATAACTAGATGTTGCGGCAAAATGACTAGCGTTGGTACGGGGCCATCAAGAAAAGTACGGTTTCCCGACGGTCAATCAGCCGGCATTCATTCCATTGATGGGCCTTCAGATCCCCATACTGGCATAGGAACGAAGTATAAAAAATATCTCGACTTTGGATGATAAGATTGCGATCTGATAAGATCTTCATTTTGGAGGTTGACCTCATATATTTTCGTGACTTGGTAGCCCTGATGGTCCATTCTCCAGGTGTCCTATCCATTCAGTCGTATTTTTGCAACGGCTATATCGTTGGAATATCTCTATGAGAACATGACTAGCTACTCGTATTAGTATCTAAACTCATGTAGTGAGTATCGGTGAGATGTAAACGAATCGAAACGGATAAGAGAATATTTGAAACTGATATATTTTGTTGATAATATTTCAACTAATACTTTGATATTCTGAGAGAAATAATCCATGATATCATTCCATTCGGATAATCTTGGATCACTCTAGGAAAATATACAGTATGTCTGAAAAACGTGACAAAAAATTGAAAACTTTTTCATTATTAATTCTACGAAAAAAAGTAATTTAACATAAAGACTAAATCTATGACCAAAAATGCAAATATCAGATATCGATTTATGTCAGTCGTATACGAGGTAAGTCAAAAAAGTAGATTTTGTTCAAGTGTAAATAATGTACCGTTTTTATTTTCGATAATATCGAAAATTATTATCATATAAAAAAGTTGATTAGAATTGAAAACTACGGAAAACTACGTTCAAATATCTGATAACATCTATTCACGTTGAGAATCATGTATTATTATTTCTTACAATAGTTTCTGATCTATTCATATGGCAAACTATTTTATTATTAAAATTTTGCGGAAAGAAGCATGTTTCATTAAACGTTCTTCAAAGTAGCATATCAATAATGCAGATATCATACCTATACTCAACAATGTTTTGAGTCATATGTCAAAAAATCCCAAATTTCTGTAGATCATACTCACGACTTTATTGAAATGATCTTATGATCCTATAATAATGCCATATTATGATTATCCTCAAATATGAAAACATTCAGGTTTTTGGGGAATATGAATTCTTTTATCGTTTTTTCTTTCGTATGATCGGGAGAATACACAATCACAATGACCATACTGTGTTATCTGGAGCAAAATAGGTTGAATGCCCAGCATTGGCCTTTTTAAAGATTGAGTAAACGAAGTTGTTTTATTTCCCAGCAACACCAAAGTCAATAAAACGATGAAGGGCCAATACTTATTTCCTTCACTGGCAAAGTGACTACAAGAATGTGAAAATCCAACAAATTTTTGCCGCTGAAGTCATTCCCCCAGCAAAGAAAGCATTGGACCAATAACTTCCCGGTAGTTCATTGTTTGTTGGGTATCTGTTACAGCCGTACTGCTCATGCTGCAAATTTCATTCTCGTGGGAAATCACTATCATTCCGTGCTCGTTAAACAATATACTATTTTTATATCCAACTTCATATATTGTATTCAAGTTAATGTGCAGTTTTGGAAAAGTCCCCAAATTTTGGAGTCTTATCAGCTCTCAAATTCATTGTACAAAAATCTGGACCACCCTGTATACAACAAATTATAAACAATGATCATTATACAATTGTTTTCCAGCAGGAAAAACAACATCCGTTTCAATTATTCGAATCATTAATGAATATACTCATTATTATGAAATTAAAGTGTACCAAGCAATATATTTCTTTAAATTGATTTTAAAACTTTCTGCCTTCCTAACTGATTCATCGACTGTACTCGTCCTGAACCGATCTTTGCCAGTCTGTCTGCCTCCTCGTTTCCGGGTATTCCCGAATGTCCCGGGACCCACATGAGGCTGACTTTTCTTGATTTTGCCAGGTTTTCCAAGGCTTTTCTGCACTCGGACACCAAATTGGATGTGATCCTATTGGATTGCAAAGCCAGTATTGCAGCTTTGCTGTCCGAGCATATAGTGATTGGTCTACGACCTCTCATAATTAGGTTTTCTTGGACACAGGTGAGTATTGCAAGTACTTCTGCCTGGAACACTGAGGCATATTCGCCCAAAAGAACTGAAATTTCTTTCCCTGTTCCTTCATTGTATACCCCTGCACCTGAACCGCCCCCAAATTTTGAGCCATCCGTGTACCAGATTGACTCATTAGGAGGAGGCACGCCAGGTGTTGTGTCATTCAATTCCTCCCTCGTAGGGATGACAGTGTTTGGGGCTTTGTTGAAGTTCAGAATTGGCAAGGTATCATCCTTTCTCATCATGAGGATGGGACAGTTTTCCTTTGCCTTATTCCATATGAGGGAGTGTCCATGATCTGCTTCTGTTCCGACCCACTGGTTTGCACCGTTGAGTCGGTAAGCAGTTCTCATGGCTTCGTGTTGTATGAACAGGTGTAGAGGTGGCAGACCTAACAGAACTTCAAGAGCCCTGGTAGGCGTCGTTCTCAGAGCACCTGTTATTCCCATCAGGCAGGCCAGTCGCTGGACTTTATCCAGTTCTCTGTTGGTCTTGCCCTTATTGGTACTGGTCCACCATACAATGGACCCGTACGTGTTGGGCGTATTACTGCCGTGTATATCCAGTGAAGGGTCTAAGGTGTGAGACCCCCATGTTTTTCCAAAGGCTCGTCTGCATGCCCAGAAGCAGCATACAGCCTTCTTAGTGCGGTTTGCAATGTGCTCACTCCAAGTGAGCTTGGAGTCTATTATTGTAAAGGTACTTTGATGAGCTTTTATATTGGAGCAAACATCTCAATTGGAGCATACCATTATACGATGTAATAGAGAAACTTAATCTCAACTGACCAACGAAAACCGCATCATGATTGCCAACAGAAGATATTAACTATCAGAGTTGGAAGAATGATAGATATGACAGCCGTTCTTAGTTGTTCACATGGTACAAACGACTATTATTTTCAGTTCAGTACATCAGTATGACTATGAAACAGTTTTCAACTCACCCTCCAAACATCGGAGTGAGTGTTTCGGACGAAACACCTCATGAATTCGAAAGCTGTCTGTTCAGGTGTACCTCTCTCCCTCAAACATTTCTCTATCAGAATATTGCTCTGATCCTCGTCGAGTACCATCTCCCTGAGTTTCTCTCTCACGACCTTTTCGAGAATTTGGCCCTCTTCGTTTTGGAAGCCGACTCTCTTGGCGAAGCAGTGCCAGAATATCCTCAATGCCGCATCTTCGGCGAAATCTCCTTGGCAGGCCCTATCCAGGATTTCTCTGGCTACTCCTGATTCTGTGGAGCAGTGGCTGTAGTGCGCTCTCAGTTTGTTGTGGATTTCATCAGAAATGTGGATCACCTTAAACAAAAGAGGATATTGAAAAGGAATATTCTCAGATGAAATAATGGACATAAAAAATGGATATACAGGGTGTTCCTTGATGACATGCTAATATTCAAGAGGGGGATTCTTGAACCCATTTCAAGAATAAAACTTCATATTTGTCCACCCTGTATAGCTTCTCCTGATGGCAAAATTTATTCTGTTATGTGACTGAAACGGTGTAAATATTTCAAAATGTTACATACTGTGTTATCCAGTAATGGATGTCCTGAGGCTTAGCATTCACATCAAAAGTTGAAGTTTGATCTCGTTTTTTCTCGAAAACGGAGCGTCCTATCAAGTATCAACAAGAGAATCTTTTTTGTACAAAAATGAATGACTTTTTATAGCATTTTATCAAATTTGGAAGTATTCCTTCGTTACTCACTTTCAAGTATAATATAATCAAACATATCCCCCTAACGGCGCCACTGGTAGAGAAATGAAAATTTGTGTACATCAAAAAATGCACCATGCCTTCAAAAACACCCTGTATATTTTGTAAAATTTGTAAAATTTGTATATCGCTACTTCAAAGTTGGGAACCAACTCCCAAGAAGTCGAAACTTGTGCGGGGTTAGGAAGAGCGGGACCTACAGCCTATAGTGGAATCCGAACCGACCATATTGAATCTTTCTTTTATTTTATTCAGACCAGGGAAGAGTCCCTCATATCCTGATATCTATTATGGAACAAAATAAAAACGGTATTGAAGTTTGATGCGAACAGCCCTTCTGCTCCAAATAAGTTTCAGAAATACATTCTGAGAATTGAAAGAGATCGAACGGAATAAATAAATATCAAAAACTTGAGAATAGTAAATTTGGTCATAATGTCGATATGTTCTCTAGTTTATGGACAATCTCGGTCTTTAGAACTTTGATTGATCACCTGGGTCATAATCAACTGCATTTCGAAGAAGCTGATTCTCATGAACCTCAACTTTTTCGAAAGTCTTGATGTTTCGTTCTTTAATGAATGACACGATTGAAGGGAGTTTCAAATCCCTGGCGATCTGGTTATTCCGAACATACCAAGGATATCCTGTCACCATTCTCGCGATTTTGTTTTGTAATGTTTGTAATCTGGTGATATGAGATTTAACTGTGTGGCCCCAGACTACTGAGGCATACCGTAAAATTGGCCTGATAGCCATGATATAAATATTCAATTTTTGTCTCAAACCCAATTTACTTCGTCTGTTTAGAAATGGATACAGGGCTCCAATGGCTCGTTTAGCTTTAGAAACTTGCTGTTCAATGTGCTGGGCCCAGGTGAGCTTTTTGTCAATGCACACACCTAAGTATTTTACTTGTGAAGACCACTCTAACTCATTTTTTATGGAAGCACCCCCGTATCTCACGTAATTGACTTTATCTTTGGACTTTCTCTTCCTCCGGCAAATTTCAGAACCCTACCTCAATAATTACGTGAGATACGGGGGTGCTTCCATAAAAAATGCGACAAAATTTCATTTTTCCGAACTGAAAATTTTCCAGGAAAAATTTGAATAGTTAGTAAATTGGGCGTCCTGATTCCAAATCTGAAGTGATTTTCGACCTATTTTGACTCCTAATATCATTTACCGGAAATTGGGGTAGTTTCATGGCTGTTGGCGAGCAGTGTATATCACTGAAGATGACCCCACTTGGTCATAGAGATTTTTGGTATATCTCTCGCTCCAGCAAATTTCAGGATCCTTACCCAACGATTACGTAAGATACAGGGGTGGTTCCATTAGAAGTGGGTCACACTGTATATATTTAAACCAATCGATAATTGAATTTTCAAATGAGTGGAATGATAGGTTATAATTGCACATTGCACAAGTGCATACAAATTACCGACAATTTGAAAAGAAAGCGTGTTATCTAAAAATTGCAAGTCTATTTTTATATTTTGGCGAAAGAGCCGAGTCCGAAGGAGGAGGCTCATTCAAAATATGAAAATAACCGAATGCAATTTATATAAGATAACACGCTTGGATGCAAAATTTTCTGGTCACGTTAGGTTAGGTTATTATCTATAAAGAAATTCTCGAAGACATGTTTTTCAGACATTTAGATTGTATGGAGCACTCGCCAAAACGTGACTTTTTTTTTCACTTTTTAAAGTCTATCTGACATTTATTCGTATTGTTACGTCTAGCGACACGGTTTCGAATGTGTTGCTATGACGACGGGATGTTCTCGCAGTGCAATCTTCACTCTGCAGTGCAATTACCGCTGACATTTTATATATGAAGAAAATATTCGGTGAAATGCTCCCTGTTCTACAGAAAATGTTCAATATTATCCATTTTTCTGTGTTGTTCGTGAAATTTTGGCAGAAGATCGAAGTTTTTTCTATGAATTTTTGGAACCCAATATTTGATATAACAAAAAGTAAATACTTCAGATCCATTCCGGAAGGATGTTTCTCAATACTCTCCTAAAGCTCACCTGAGACAGGAATCCCTGTTGTGGGTAATGCCGTTGGTAGCACTTGTAAAACCCGAAAGCAGACTCCATAGGCTGATCTCTCCTAACGACGCATTCCTTCACTACCACCTCAACATTAGAATGATCCTCGTGGAGGTCCATCAGCTTCTTCCTGATCATTTCCTGGTGGAGCTCCCCCAGTTCGTTCATGAAGCCCAACTTTTGCAGGAAGCACAGCAGGTACTCTTTGAGCTTGGCATCTTCGGATTTTAGGACGTCCTCGATGTGGGAGAAGTGGTGATTGTCGACCCCAGTCTTCGCCTGGCAGGCTTGGTGGTGCTTGTAGAGGAGGACTTTTCTGTCCTGAGACAGGACCGGGCTGGCCTGATGAAAAAAAATCGTGAACAATTTATCGGGGTGTACCGCAAAATGGAGGGAATTTAATTTTCAGGGGCCGTCGAATGAAATTTTTAGAGAAGAAAAGTTAGTTTGTCCACCATTAGCTATAAAACCACTCATTTTCGAGGCGTAAAGTATGTTTTTACTATCAAGGTCGATGTCGATATTCGCTGAAATGGCACTCGAGTCTAGTAGGTATTCATCGATAACGACTTTTCATATATGCTGTCATGGTCATGACTACTAGATTTTAATTAGAATTTAAGACAACTGCTTTCGCAGTGACAATACGTCCATATTTCAGTTTCACAGAACTATAATGATTGAAATGTTGATATTGCTACTGGTGAAAAAAATATAATATACACCTTGGCAGCAAAGAATATTATTACTAGTAGACCTTATACCCCTCGGCTGAAGCCTCTGGATATAATCTTGGTCCTTGCCCAAACAACACGAGTACGTCCCAGGGATGTCCTTCATTTTGTACGAGGACGTCCCCGGGATATCCTGTGTCGGGACATGGTACATCCTAGGGACGTCCCAGGGACATCCGCTTTCCACAAAAAGAGGCATCCTATGGATGTCCTTCTGGTCCCTGGGATGTACCAAGTACGATGAAAGGATATCCCAGGTACATCCCTTCGACAAAAGAAAAAGAATGTTGGTCGAGTACGGATTGAACCCGGGACCTCTGGCTTATCAGCCACGCATCTTACTCCATTGGCTATTGAGCCTCCTGAAGATTTATGTACTAAACAGATTTATAAACGGGAATTAACTACAGAAACCTGAATAAATACAACTTTGTTAGGATTCGGGTATCATTATTATATCATTCTTGGGTGATTAAAAATGAAGGGCATTATATGCATGTACGATTTCTGTTTGCGAAAAATGGTAATTTCTTAAGAAGTTCTGAAACTTTATTCTTTATTTTCATTACGATTATTTTCCGGAAGGCAAAAACAATTTTTTCAAAAAAATGCAACTTAATACTTTGATGAAATTCAATGACTCTGATGTGAATGGATATCAGATATTCCAGGGACACGAACAGGATAACCTAGGGATGTACCAGGCAGGATGTCCACTGGACAACCACTGCACGACATCCCCTGGATGCCCCAATCATGTCCTTGTACCGCGGGACAAAGAAGAGACGTACCTAGGACATCCCTGTGTTGTTAGGGTGGGTAGTACTGATATTCTTTACTACCTTTGGTGTGTTATTCCCTAGGGAGATAAAGTGGCACATTTCCTCCTTATGGAGTTAATACCAACATTACATTTTCCGTATAGTTCAGAGCTTTATTTTCTGAACACCATTCTCTGAAGCGATAATAAGCCACATCATAGAGACTGAATTTCGAATTCAACTGGTCAGTACTGTCAGTAAATCCACTGACTCCGCTGAAAATCTGTGTTGGGAAATATAAAATCAAAAATTCAGTGCTGCAATTCAGAATATGTTTTCATGGTTTTCATCAATAATCAGCAGCAGTTGATCAGCTGGTGAACTCTGTCAGTTGGCCAGGTAGCCGTGCGGACAGAATGTCCATATTCTAATCCGCATTCGCTTGCCGGTCGTGGGTTCGAGTCCCGTCGACTGCAGAAATTTTTCTGATGGCCCAAGAAAGTGTTTGGGATCACACGTTAAAAGGTAAGGCCCCCGTCATTCCTTGCTCGCACAAGACTCTCGAAGACTTCTGAGGGTTGCTCGTAAGGGGGCAACCGAATGACGGATAGAACAATTTTAGAACAAATTTTTTTTAGTTGTCAGGTTGTCACTTATGTATAGTTTCTTGTTCATCTGAACTAGATATTATTGTCAGCGTCAATTATTTTATTAACAGGTATTTTCTGATAATAAAAAATATATTATTGGTTTGTTATTGATAAAACAACGGAAATAAATGTGACATCCCTTCTCCACTCTAAAATAATGACAGTGTACTGAAGCCACACTACCTTTTGATAGTCAGCAATTTCAGCAGAATGTTGAGTTGAAATATTTGGAATGAATCGGAGGAGTGAATAGTATGTTGTCTGCTCACAAGTACCTGTCACTGTCAGTGAATTTTTTTTTTCGGAATGAAAAACCAGCAGATTCAGTACTGTCAGTTGAATTCGGAATATAGCCACAGATACAGATCTGACTATCGCTATATTACAAAAATATAATCTTTTTTGCAAAATAAATTATATCTATATCTATTTATCTTTCTATCTAGGTTTCTGGATTTCACTGGTAGCAAGTTAGAATCACTGCAGAAGCAGTTTCAACAATTTATTAGAGTTCTCCCTCGATTTCTTGTTCGGAAACTGACAAAGTATAACCTCTATGAATTATATATATTTGAAATCAGAAGAAAGAGCTCTATAACGATAAGGATGATGAAATTCAGGGTAATTCATTCAAAAAATGCCAGTTTATGTCAAATTTTCAGGTTTACGTTACGATATTTTTTTGCAATTCGGAAGTAGCTCTAAATTCTGATTGCCCATGAAAAATACTTCATATTTGCCCCTTTGAATGTTTCTTTAAGACCAGTATTAACTGAGATAGCTATTGAGTATAATGTAAACAATTACTCTGTACATTTTCAATCAGTCAGATTAACATTGAGTTCTGAATCTCCAAAATGCTATTATTATATCATTCAGAAGATTATTGAAACAGTTTCTTCTGGGGAGGTGTCATCATTCAATATCAGAATTTCTCAGTGAATAGCACTATACAGTGTGTCCCAAATTCGATCCTCACCATTGGGATCTCAGTAACTATGAGAGATAGAGAAACGGTTAAATTAGCAAAGTTGTAGCAAATTTAATGTTGAATCATAATCTATCGAGAAATCCGGGCAAGCTTCAGTCATTCTTGAGTTATTTGAGAAAAACTGAAATCTTGTATTTTTGTTTTTCTCGAATATCTCGGAACCCATTGATTTTATGAAAAAATGACTTCAACATTCTCATAGCACTTTTTAGTGCTCTTTTCGATGGTTTTGTCAGTTTTCCGTCAAAATGTCAAATTTCTGAGATATCACCTACAACTTCAATTTTTCTAATGGACGCCATATTGGATTTTCACAGATTTGAAATCAGCATCAAATTTCCTTTCTAGTGATGTATCACACTTACAGTTTTATTCTATTTGGGGTACTGATTTCCAATGTTTGTTTTTATGTCCAGTAGGCTATGCGCTAAGCTCTCTATAAACATTAACGATAATGTGTTCTGGCACAACTTTCATAGAGTAGGCTTGGAGCAAAGGTGAGCCAAGTGACATTTCTGTAAACGTCAAGAAAAAATACAAGTCAATTATTTCGGGGCAAACAATGCCGTTCACAAATCTCGAAATAACAGAGAAACAGCTAGACAATACTTCCATTTATATCCAGAAAGACAACAACCGCATCCTTCTATTTTTCTAACATCACAAAGAAATTTGCAAGAGCATGGAAGTTTCATTGCACCTAGGCCAACGTATGGTTTGCGCTTGGATGAACAAGATATTGCAAATATCGAAGGAATCATCAATCAAACTCCTACCATTTCAATTCGAGAGCTTAGTCGGAGAACTCTTGTGCCGAAAACAACAATCCACAGACATTTAGTGAATGATAAGTACCAACCTTTCAAACCAGTGATAGTACAAGGGTTAAGACCTGGTGATAATGAACGTCGTCTCGAGTTTTGTCACTGGTTCCATAACCAGTGTGAAAGAATCGAGAACTTTCCATTGAATATCTGCTGGACCGATGAAACGAGATTTCATAATAATGGAATTTACAATAAACATAATCATCATTACTGGGCACAAAATAATCCGCATGTCATCAGAGAATCAAAGTGGCAGAACAAATTTGGTTTCAATGTTTGGTGTGGGATATTTGGTACCTTACTAGAATTTTGGTCCATGAATAACTGTTTCTCATTGTGTATTTTTTTCAGGCAGTAGACTACTAGGTCCAATAATCTACGATTATAACTTGAATGGTCCACGTTATTTAGAGCTATTGAGAAATGAAATTTCGAATTTTATAGACGAGATACCACTTGCTGAATATGAGTTAATGTGGTTTCAGCAAGATGGTGCCCCACCGCACAATACGCGATTGGTTAGGGAATATCTCGAGAATCAATTTGATGCTAAATTAATTACTACCCATGGACCTGTGAGATGGCCTCCAAGGTCGCCTGACTGTACGCCTCTCGATTTTTACCTGTGGGGCTACGCCAAAAATAAAATTTTAGAAGATCCAATTCAAGATATTGATGATCTACGAGATAGAGTGATGGACACATTCCAGAACATCAACAGAGTTCATCTGAGAAAAGCAGCGAATCATGTTCGCTCGCGAATATTAAAATGTATCGAGAACAATGGGGGCCATTTCGAGCAGTTCAATTGATTTTTTTTTCAGTATTTGTATTATTCAACTGTTATTAAATTTTTTTTCTGCTATAATAGTACACATCCAATTCCATGCGATAAGTTATGCAAGAACATACAACACAGAATTCATAGCCTACTTGACATAAAAACAAAAATTGGAAATCAGTACCCCAAATAGAACAAAACTGTGAGTGTGATACATCACTAGAAAGGAAATTTGATGCTGATTTCAAATCTGTCAAAATCCAATATGGCGTTCATAAGAAAAATTGAAGTTGTAGGTGATATCTCAGAAATTTGATATTTTGATGGAAAACTGACAAAACCATTGAAAAGAGCACTAAAAAGTGCTATGAGAATGTTGGAGTCATTTTTTCATAAAATCAATAGGTTTCGAGATATTCGAGAAAAACAAAAATACAAGATTTCAGTTTTTCTCAAATAACTCAAGAATGACTGAAGCTACCCCGGATTTCTCGATAGATTATGATTCAACATTAAATTTGCTACAACTTTGCTAATTTAACCGTTTCTCTATCTCTCATAGTTACTGAGATCCCAATGGTGAGGATCGAATTTGGGACACACTGTATATGAATTAATGTCAATTATAATATGTTTTCGTATGAAATTTATAGAAAACTGTTTGTAACATTATTTCATTATCAACTATCTAGATTCGATTCAGTGTATATTTGTCATAAATAAATAAAATCGAAAAGACAACTTCTTTATTTCAAATGCCACCCTGAATATTTTTTAAGCTCGAAAAATCAAAAGAGTTAGGTACGCATCTTTGGGAAGATATAGTTCTGAGTAGTATTCAAAAACTGAAATAAATACATGATGCGTCTTGAATAAGAAGGTTCAATTTCGTTGAAAAAACGCAGAACCTTAACAGAGCTAAAATGAACAGTTTTCGAGATATCCGGCCCAAAATAAAAGCTTTCATGAGACATTTTTTTGTCGAATTCGATAGCAGATATTCCTGAAATATTTTTGTTGTTTAGTGATCAGATACTCATTCTAGGTTTTCATTTTGCAGCTGAATAGAAACAGATATTCCATGCAGAAAACACCATTTTTGTAATTATCTGCTATACATATAAGAGAAATGGATATGATGCATCAACTTCAATTTTGAATTATATGTTCGAAAACTGTTCATATAAACTACTCAACACTAATTTAGTCGCATACCAAAATGTCGCCCCTGTTATAATGTGAATAACTTTTTTCAGTTTGAAACAATTTGAATTTGGTTCACACTGTTCGATAGCTCAGTCCTTCAGCTATAATCTCGTACTTCATTGAAACATAAGGGTATTCACATAAAATCTCTACATGGTGTTTTCCGACACTGTGCGAAATCTCGGAATATTCAAAACGCTTTCAAATGGTGAAAAAAATTTTTTTCTCAACTTCGACAACAGAGGCATGAAGATGATCTCATTACCTCGAGATATTTCGCGAATCAACTTTCTATCTCTCTTATTTACAGAGTGATCTCAAAAAATCAACTTTTTGGTTTTGCAGCCATAACTTTTTTCCACGTCAACCGATTTTGACAATCTCAGGCTCATTTTGAAGATAAAACTTCAGATAAAGAGATCTGAATATCAGAATTGACTCAAGATGGCTATCAAAGATCTAGAGTTTTCTTGAAAGTGACCCAAATCTGGAACGCCCTTCGGATATTGGTTGGGAGGAGAATTGAATGAAAATCAACTTGTTCTCGGAAAAACAATTCATTCTGGATGCGTCCATATTTTCCTCGCTCTCAGTAGTCAAGAATTGTGCGTGAGAAAACACAATTGAAACATGTTCTTGCAAAAACATTAGATCATTTCTCCTCTGTAATGCATGGCCCGCCGTAACCAACGTTACAAGAATCACAATAATGAGTGACTGACAAACCCGACCAGCTGAGGCTCTTCATAAATGGTGTACCAACAAGAGCAACGGATTTTGATTTTTTCAATAAAGTGATTTTTTTAACAGTTGTCACGTACATAACATGCGATTTAAGAATATGGAGAAGTATTCAAGCAAACAACGTTTATTTATTGTAAAAACGCATTTCAAAAATAGGGAAAGTTTCACAAGAACAGTTTGCCAATTACGTAAAGTTTTCAGTCGCAATAATGCGCCGAACGAATCGACAGTAATAACCAAACAATTCGTGTCGGAGATAAGCCCTTTGAATTGATCGGACTGTCGTGTTTAGCAGATCCGCGATTTGGAGGGAAGATAACCCTTGTTCCCTCATTTGTGGAATCAGTTCCAACTGGTCAGGCGTTAGATGCGGCATCGAAACTATCAAAATCTGTTTATGATTCGAAAACGACGTCTAACCTGACTTGTCACTCACTTACTGTGATTCTTGTAACGTTGGTTACGGGCCATGCATTACAGAGGAGGAATGGTCTGATGTTTTTGCAAGAACATGTTTCAATTGTGTTTTCTTACGCAAATTCTTGAGTACTGAGAGCGAGAAAAATATGGACGCATCCAGAATGAATTGTTTTTCCGAGAACAAGTTGATTTTCATTCGATTCTCCTCCCAACCGAGATTCGGAGGGCGTTCCAGATTTGGGTCACTTTCAAGAAAACTCTAGATCTTTGATAGCCATCTTGAGTCAATTCTGATATTTGGATCTCTTCATCTGGAGTTTTATCTTCAAAATGAGCCTAAGATTTCCAAAATCGGTTGACGTGAAAAAAAGTTATGGCTGCAAAACCAAAAAGTTGATTTTTTGAGATCACTCTGTAAATAAGAGAGATAGGAAGTTGATTCGCAAAATATCTCGAGGTAATGAGATCATCTTCATGCCTCTGTTGTCGGAGTTGAGAAACTTTTTTTTTTCACCCTTTGAGAGCCTTTTGAATATTCCGAAATTTTGCACAGTGTCGGAAAACACCATGTAGAGATTTTATGTGAATACCCTTATGTTTCAATGAAGTACCAGATTATAGCTGAAGGACTGGGCTATCGAACAGTGTGAACCAAATTCGAATTGTTATAAACTGAAAAAAGTTATTCACATTATAACAGGGGCGACATTTTGGTGTGCGACGAAATTAGTGTTGAGTAGTTTATAAGCTCAGTCGAAGATTCTGTATTTTCTCAACGAAATTAAACAGGGAATTCGATGAATTGAAATTGAAAATAATCAAAATTTCGTTAGTGTCGAAGAACAAATGGGTACAAAAGGTGCCACAACCTCCTGTGATACGTCACTGGATGAAATACAAAAATTGGTTGATAAAAATTCAGCCGTTTTTCTGTTATTGTGAGAAAACTATTTCAATTTCTCCAATCTCTACCCTTTATCTATAAAACAATTTTCACTTGAGGACCTAAGCAATCTAACACGAGGTGTTGATTTATGTTTGAATAGAATTTGCCTAAGCTTAAACCTAGATTATTCTTCTTGAGAAATTTGAAGAAAGTCTTCCATATTATTATTTCATGAATATAATTTCATAAGCCAACTTAGAATATTAGATACTTACCGATATTCCATAAACTGCTACCACGAGCCCTGTAGTCACTACTGCTAGTAAGAAGTTCATCTTCTTTGTTGAAGAGTTCTATACTGTGACTATTTGGGCACATTGAGGAACTATTTATACGCGAGAGATAATTTTTTTTTATCAAAATACTCGACATCTAGATTTTAGATTATTGATGTACATAATTAAAATCATTTGCAACGATCCATCATCAATTTACGCTGTTGCCAAACTCATTATTTAAACTGGATATTCGGATTGGGTGCCATGGAAGTATTACTATCATTGTTAGTAATACCTAGGTATGCATTTTTGGAACATTCTGATAACATTTTACAGGCTCAAAGTAGGTATACTTTTTCTCTGAAGATAAATTGTACTCAACACATAACACCGTTAGTTTTTCGAAACGTCTGCTTCATTCCTTCTCAAAACGGTGGAGGAAGAAGAAGGGTATTAGTTTTCGGGCAACATTCTCAGAATATTCAGTAAAATCAGTAAATTTGTTGGGATCCTCATCAATTTTCTTCGAAATGATTATTAAATAATTACATACTTCTTGTAGTACTGGTACTGACACTGGTAGAAGTGGAGGACGTTTGTACATCAGCAACTAGTCCCTAATGGGACCTTCTTGAAAACTCCAATGTGTAATGAGTGATGTAGTAGGTATACGTACCAGAATATTGGGTGTCCAAAATTCATAGAAAAAACTCCAATCATTTGCCAAAATTTCACAAGCAGTACACAATAAAAAATGTGTCTTCAATTCCATGTGAGAAATTATATAATTTATATCAGGATATATGCATCAGGGTTTTCTCAAAGCTGGGTCATTATTATTTTAATAGATTGTAGAACTCGAAAATTTTGAATATTTTCTGTAGATAATAGATAATTTCACGCATAATTTCAAAAATCTTCGTCAAGTTGGATCTCAAAATCTAATACTCTTTATGACCCTCTCATTGCGCAACTTTTATGAAAACGATATTTTGGGTAAATTGACTTCTCTTTACCTGTTCTACGAGCTGTTGAATTGAATGACTCAACTTTGAGAATACAATGAATAACTTATATCCTATCTACAGAGTAGGAATGAATGGATTGATGCGAAAAAAATTCAAGCGATTCCTTGTCCTATTTTAGGAAAGAAGTTCAAATGAACAAACATGTTGTAATAATTCCTTGCTTTACTTTTTGAATATGTCATTTACTATCTTTTCATCATAACTACCAGTATATACAAGGTATATCAAATAATACCAACATTCTTCCCCCCGAAGTTATCAACCAAGAGCATCTAGGGCTGTCAATTTGTTGACCGGTCGTCTGAATACTCCTGCTGCAGTTTTCACGTCGACTACTCTTACTTTCCCGTCTTTACCAGGATGCCTGTCTACAGTCTTGCCCTTTGGCCAGCAATTCCTTGGATTATTACTGTCCACCATGTCCACTATAAATACGTCGTCTACTTGCAGCTCTTCGGAATTGTCGAACCATTTGCTTCGTCGATTCAGGATGGGAAGATATTCTTTCATAGTTTCAAGTTCAGCTCTCAAAATCAATCTCCTTGTAGATAGTCGAGTTGTCGCTCTGCTACCCACTGACTTTTTGTCATTTTCTTCTGTCATCAATTTGTCATCATTTTCCAAATGACCATTTTCCGATAATTCGGGTATTATCCCTTATCTTAATAAAAGTTGTTCCTCTCCTCCCTTGGACATCTTCCACAGGACTGAATTCAATTGTACGAAGGACCAAATGTAATAATTCCTCAATCAAACGTAATAATTCCTCGATCAGTAAAACGACGGACTTGATTTACTTTTTGAATATGGCATTAACTATCTTTTCATCATAACTACCATTATATACAAGGTACATCAAATAATATCAACACATGTGTTCTTTAATTTACTCCGTATCTGAGATACAGTATGTTGAGTTGGAATTATTGATTGATTTTTCATGATCAGAGTTATGATTAAAAAAATGAATCCAGTGGAGTGAGAACTCACTGCGACGCCACTGGAATTAGTATATCGAATCTAATGACACCAAAAGAAGCTGCATATTACTATCAACAAAACCACCAAGTTTCATCGAAATTGACGAAAAGGACCTATCATTTGAAAAACTAGGAAATATTCTAGGTATACCTAACAATTTCGATCTCATATTTTCGGTAGTAGAGGCAACATGGCCTAACTTTTCGTTACCATCTTTTATCTTGTAGACCGGCCATATAACGGAGCTGTCAAGACAAGAACAAGAGAAGATTGGCGAGATCTTGATTGCGAAATCGTGAATAGTTTTTGCTATCAACTGTTGAACTTGAACTGAAAGCTGATGCCGTTTCGGGCCGCAGGCTAAGCTCGACTTTGACCGTAGAACTGAATAGTTATTGCAAATCACTATTTAATTAACTCTATATAATGCAATTAGAGTTGAAGGGCTTATTGTGGAAAAATTGCATGCCTCAGAGACGTGAAAATGAGATATTTGACTTTGAATGTCTAAAATAATATATAGGGTGATTTAAAATTCGATGTAAATATTTTAAGGACGTATTGTTGGGATCAAAATAAGACTCAATCTCTATACAGGGTGTTCCGTTGGGAAACGGATATACTTCAACGGTGGATAGAGGTGACCAAGATGGTTCTGATTATACCATATATGTTGGGTCTTACATGCTTCATTATCGAGAAATGGGGTGTTTTATCAATTCTGGTCATTTCTTTGAAGGCTCATGGCATACGAACCACCTGGTATATTTTTTTGATATTTGGTAGACGTGTTTTCCCGCTGCTACCCCAGCGACTTGTATATCCGTCAGAAAAAAATCCAGGCCCGGATTAACAAAAATTCAACATATTATTGGGTCCTCGAAAAAACACCCTGTATGTTTGAATTTACAAAATCTGCTTACATACCTGGAGAGCACAAAATGTTGAATAGATTTGTGTACTTTTTATGTTTCCGCATGCTATTTTACTACTGAATTTCTGAAGCTGCAATGAAGGATTTGTGAATTTCAATAGCTAATATCGGAATATTTTCAGTTGTTCATATCGAATTAGGAAAACTTTGCAATTTTACAACTCATTTTATTCCATTTAATAGTCGTCTGCATTTTTATGTCTGTGGAACGGGCCATGTACCTATTTATTTGTTCCCAATTTTTTGAAATGAAATCTCAGAATCAGAATGACAAATATTTGAATACTCCAAAAGAATGATAATGATGCCTGCAAAAAGATGCCTGCAAGCAGTATAACGTGATATATTCACAATATTGATTCGTCCTTTTTTTATGTCTCAGAAAAAAATTGTGTATTATATACAGAGGAAAAATTAGATTTTATAGCTCATGGTTTTTTATCTCTACAGCCTCGAGCTGAAATCTACTACTTTTCCCCTTGTATAATGAATTTGAATCTGTCAAAATAAGAGCATCATCTGGTGTCCCTCAGGAATCTGTGCTAGGCCCATTACTATTCATAATTGATATATGCCTGTGCTTGGACTAGGAAATCCTCCTATACGCAGATGATTGTAAATTGTTTAGGCCGATATATTCTTTAGATGACTGCGACCGTCTTCAAGATGACATCGACAAGTTAAATCAATGAACTCATTGCCTCTAAATAAAGAAAGTGTAATTATGTTACTTACACTCGCAAAAAGTTACCTATTGATTTTTCTTACACCATTAACGGCCAGCGTCTGCAAAAAATGACTGAGTTCGAAGATCTAGGCATACTCTTCCACTCTAAACTCACGTTTTCTCACCACGTGAACACTGTTGTCACGAATGGTTTTAAAACACTGGGTTTCAGTATCAGAAACTCCAAATGGTTGTCTGGGATTAAAACCTACTTACTCCTTTTTGATGCGCTTGTGAGGTTAAGGTTTGAATATGGCTGCGTTGTCTGGAGTCCTAGATACATCACGAATAGTGAGAGTTTGGAGAACATTCAGAGGAGATGAAGTACATCAGTTTCAGATGTGATGGCTCTTATCCGATGCGGGGTGTACCGCACGATACACTTCTTTCTAGATTTCAAGTCAACTCCCTAGAAGAACGTCGTACATATTATTTGGGAATTTTATTTTTACACAAGATCTTAGTCTCGTGTATTGACTGCCCATACCTGCTTGCTTGGTATTGGTATTGGTATTGGTAGGTTGGATGGTGACAGATGCGCTGCGACCTAATTAGATCTATTGTGCCCCATCTGCTTCTGCTATATATCAAGGATTTCTTGTTCATAGCAGCCCCTCGAGATTCAATTCCTTCAGGAATTTGAGGATTTTGAGGGGGTCCAGCTGTGGTATTTCTTCCACAGTCAGCTGGTGTGTTCCCAGTATGTTCAATCTTTTGTGATGTACAGCATCACACTCCATCAGTATGTGGTGGTGTTTCTGGTTCTTCCTCACAGAATCTGCAGGTGCCGTCCTCCTGCAAGCCTAGCTTCCTTAGGTGTTCTTTGAGCCTGCAATGCCCCGTTAGAAATCCCGTTATTGCTTTGAGACTTCCTTTGCTGAGGTTTGTCAGTGTCTTAGATCTTTCTCGGTTGAAATTTCCTAAGAGATCTTTAGCGTGCCGTAGTCCTGAAAGTCTTCTCCGTTGTCTGGCTCTCCAGGCTCCTTCCGCCTTCTCAAGTTCTCCTTGGAAATAGGAATTACCAAGTCCGCAGAACGGCTCTGGTCTGATCAGTGGCGTTGAAGCCCCTTGTCGTGCCAGAGTGTCTGCTTGTTCATTCCCCTCCACTCCAATATGCCCTGGCAACCAGAGGAGGATCACTTTATTGTTGCTGTCTAGCTCATTCAATTTGCTTAGGCATTCCCATACCATCTTCGAGTTGATGTAAGGAGAGCTCAATTCAGAATAGAATAGATATTTTTTCCTGCAAACCTATAGACATCAAAAGGGCTACTTTACCATAATATGTTATATATTTTTTGTTGTTGTTTTAACACTGTTTGTAGCGCTGTGTATGAACTTTTTTATCACCGTAGTTTTTTCAGTTCATACACATCGTTATGCAGTGTTTCATTTATTTTTTGTTTATATGCTTATTTCCTTCTCTCTGTTTTGTTTTTTGATACAATATCCACACAGATTTTGGACCAAAATTGTTATTTTCCCATTCTGTAATTGGCCTCGGCTGTTGAATTGGTGTACCGCTAAAATAAAAAAAAAATAAAATGAAAAATAATGAATAACTATTTTTTCTCCTGTGCATTTGCTATATATCGCCCTGTTTGCGTATCAACATTGACTATGGGAGATCATATAAGACAATAGCAATCCATTAATTACATAACGCGAAGATTGAAGTATGTCTCCTTGGATAAATCCTAATTGGGATAATCATTGTGTTCTAAAAATATAGCATATATACCTATAGATACCCATTATGCTTAGCAGCTAAGCAGAAAAATTACACGCCGCGCAACGCGACGTGAAATAAATACATTTTAATTAGGGTAATTGAAGGGTAATTGAAATCTACCGGTGATTCGGGATTACATAGGCGAAAATCTCCTAATTCTATATAAAAGGTGTTCGTCTTATATCGAAGTAATCACAATCAATTGTTCTTTCATTCTATTAGGTGCTTCGTGAAATTCGTGAAATGGAAAAGATTCTGTGCGTTTTGTTCTTTGCCATTGCCTTGGCTATTTCTAAGGTGAGAAAATTCCCAATTTTCTGTTTCAACATCCTTTATCATACTGTCTGTAGGTTAATCGAGGAGGTGGTACATTCATTATTCCAGATTTTTTGGGATTTTCTCTCTTCGTTTCTATAAAATAAAAATATGCAGCTTATTTCAATATACGTGTAGTAAGGACAAATCATATGATTTGCCCCAAAATGTCCCTGCGTTTAAAGAAGTTTCCTATCAGAGAGCTTAAAAGAAAAATTCACCAGCTTGTTAGTGACAATTTTTATTGAAAAAAGTTTGGAGAAGAGAAATAAAGGTTTATAGAGAAAATATTAAAATGTTACTTAGCTTTGGACGTTTCGGGAACGAATCTGCTGCCGTTTTCAACATAAAAAATGGATGGAAGAACAATCGTCAAGAAATTGTAACTACAGTATACCTTGTATTTATGGAAAGTTTTATAGATGTGACACCAAGAGACATCTTTCAGTAAGGACAAAGGAACATAAATACAATATGAAGAAAAGACACATCGACAAATCGAAACTAGCTGAACTATCCTTACTGAAGATGGACAACATATCGTGGGTCATCTCACGTAATGACGTATCTCATAAAAATCGGAATTTGAGATACTCCGTCAAGTGACTCATATTCTTGTACTCTATGATCGCACAAAGTGGCGTAACTCAATATTCAATGGTTTTCGTCTGTTTAAATATCGAATACTCAGCCTATCTCAAATTATTGAACTACCAAATCTCACGAAGTGACCTAACTATAGGAGTTACGTCATAACGTGAGATATATTTTTATTATTTTTTGAAAATTTCAACAGTGACGTATCTCACATCAAGTTTTCGGAGGAATTTAAAATATTTCGGGTGACGTCTCAAGATACTGAAAGGAGTATTGTAAGGTATTGTACAAGTCGAATGAATTTTCGTGTTTTTATCAATAAAAATGAATGTTTGGATCTGTTATTTATTTGATTTAACTTTATATTCATCGGCGTATCTAAGACCACAATAACAAACATGATCTCACGAAGTGACGTATCTAACAAACTTTTCTTTTTCGCTTCGAGCGATGGTTTTTGGAAATCTCACCATATCATATAACAACTAGTTCTAGTTCTTCCACTAATGAATGAAAAATGAATGATCTCCCACGAACTAACCTCTGAGATATAAGCGTATTAAGATGTTGAAAATCTTTGAACTGCTCTGCTGTGAAATTAAGAAAACTGAGATACGTCACTACGTGAGATGACCGTCGATATGGCAGAGTGGAATGATATTAAAATCATTGGAAAAGAGGAAAACAACCATGCAGAAGAGAAAAATCAAGGAATCTGCTTGCATTCTTCTGAACGGAGAGAGTAACATTGCTTCCTGTTCAGTTGATTTAGATAGAACATCGTATTCACTATATTGAAATCTGAATCTGGTGAATTCAAGATTAAAAAATGAAAACATCCTGTAGCTCATTTGATTGCCAACGTCACCGATTGTTACTGAGAACTGAAAAGTGTCAGGACAAATACGAATTTGCGATACAAAAAAATCCATTCTTCATGTTGAAAACGGGAGCAGATTCGTTCCCGAAACGTCCAAAGCTATTAGTAAAAATTCAATATTTTTCTATGTACCTTTATTTCTCTTCTCCAAACTTTTATCAATACAAATTGTCTCTGACAAGCTGGTGAATATTTCTTTTAGGCTCTTTGATTAGGAAAATTCATCAAATTGAAATAATATTCATATTTTTATTTTATCATGTTTCATTTTACCTGGATATGCTTTTTTGGGACAACAAAAATTTAAAAAAAATGGGAAAATTATCATAGAACATCACAAAAAATGTATAGATACACCGCTCGAGGTTTGAGTTACGTATAGAGCCTGAAAAAATAGTAGGTGGCATTTGAAAAAGTTGAGTTTTCTGCAATTTTTCAATGCCACATTTGAAAATCGCTCGCACCCTTATGGGACCATCGACAGTTCCACGAGTTTGGTACTGTGATTTTGAACTGTTTGGGAAATACAATGTTTTCATAAACTACAGACCCAAATGTCTAGAATTTTATTTAGAATAAGAGTACCAACCATCAGGCAAAATATTTTCATAGGATGAACTTGTTATCTGTAAATTGGTTTGTGTTATTTTTCCTAAAAAGGAATATTTAAATATCTAGGAATATAATTAAATATTACATTTCGGACAATGGAATGGACCCTCTTATGGTGGAAAATGGACATTGAGTACCATATATGGATACCCCAACAATATGTTATAGTCTTCAGAAATAAAAATAAGAGCTCATTTTTTTCAAGGAAATTCCAATTCACTAATGTTTACATAAAATCTCATTTTGACACTAGTGTGCATATGACCATCTCATTTTGACATTCAAAATGTGAACAGGAAGTTTCCGTATATGTAAACGATGTAACTTGAGAATGAGAAATGAATTTTATTCGATGTGTTGAAAAGGAATATTCTCAGATGAATTATGAACATACAAAAAAGGATATATATTTATATAAAGCAATACATTGAGAATTCGCATTCTCTATGTGATGAGAATATTTACTCTTTTTCAGGTAATTCAATAGAAAACAACTACTTTCCTGGCTATATGCCACGACGAACATTGAATTATATCTATTGAACACACACGATAAGAGTTTGAAAATAAAATATAAGAATTTCTGAAATTGAGAATTTGCATTCTCCTTCAGACAAAAAAATGTATATACACACATCATTCTGAATATTCAACAGAAAACAACTACTTTCCTGGCTATTTGCCACGTCGAACATTGAATTATATCTGATGAACATTCAAAAGGGAACATGAAAAATAAAGAATAAAATCCTCCGAAATTGAGAATTGACATTCTTCTTCAAATCGGTTGAATAATATGATGAATATAAGATTGTTACGAAAGCGTAGAAGTCGCAGACAAGAGAAGAAACAGTGTCTCCTCAATTATTTCGTGTATGAGCAGCTAAACCAACAAATTCCAAACTAATAAAAAAATGAATTGTGGAGGGAATATCATATCGATATTCGATATAACTGATTTTTCCAGTACAAGTGTAAACATGCCATATTCAACCATGCACACATATTTTCCGATTCACGATTTTATCCATTCTTGATACATTCTTGAGTTCGATTGCAATTCACACCTGCTCAAACCCAGGTGGAGATAAACTACACTGGTATGGAATGCACTTTTTCAAAGAGATTACTCTGATACAGTGCAAATTACACGAAGTGTAGGAGAGTGCTACACTTTTTTTGCAATAGAAAGAAACTTACAATTAAGAGATATAACTTCTTGCAGCCAATCAGCGAAGAATCAAAGGCCGAGATGCTGAAGATACACGAGGAATGTGCCGTAAAGTCCGGAGTTGACAGCAAAGATATTATCGACAAGGTAATAGAGAAAAAGTAGGGACCAAACGTATGAGTTCTAAAAATTTCGAGTTTCACGAAAAAGTAAAAAAAGAAAAAGGTGCGAAAATACAAGATTTCAATGTATTGATAAAAAATCGTTATTTTATTGATTGACTCAGGAGTAATATTGTTAATTTCAATGAAACTTGGTGGTTTTGTTAATAGTTACATGAAACCTCTTTTTAGTGTAATTATTAGATTCATCATTCGTAGTAATTCATATATACCATTTATGCTTTCTTTGTATAGTTGCCTGTTCTTATAGCTTATTATTTTCCCGAGTGGACCCAGTTCCCTATAAGTCTGTGCATCACTACACGGAAAAAAATGATTTGTTGCATCAACAAATTATTCGTGCTTGAATTATTTTTGTTGGACTGAGCAATTTTTTGTTGAATCAACCAGATACATGATTATTTCATAGGAGCAGCTTGTTCAAATCAAGATGATAGTCTAATTGAATCAACAGTATAATATCAATTCCATCAACAAAATATATGGTTTTATCAAAAACAAATTATTTCGTTCCAAAATAATGTCGATGTTGATTCAACAATAAACATTTTGTTGATTTGATCAAATAATGATAATTTTGATGAGAATATATCTTTGCGAAACGACACACAAGTTTTCTTATTCCGATGTAGCAATGAACTCGTTTCGAACGGATCATTTGCTTGAATAGAGCAACGAAATATGTAATATCAATGGAATATTTTATTCATTCTACATCAAGTTGAATTTTCGCCTCTAGATGGCGATCATTTCGCCTCGTCTATGCCTGCCATTATACAAGGTGACCGTTTTTCGAGTTCCACCATAGGGATCTCAGTTATTATAAGAGATACGAGGTCGTAAGAAAATTCGATGTGATATTTTCAGTTTTGCTTTGCAGTTTGTTGAACAGAACTGTTGGCGTTTTTCCAAAGCACCCTTCGCAAAAATGTATTTTTCCCAATTTTGATCAACAGGAAATATTCGATCATATCGTGTGATATACATTATTGTCATCAGAAAAAAAGACTTTTCAGAAATGCAAAAATCCAATATGGTGCCAATAAGAAAAAACAAAGTTGTATGTAGTAACTTTGGCTTCAAGAACGTCATGAAAAATACAATGACAGATTCAGATTCCTTGTAAAGAAGTAGAAGAATGTCCCAGTCAGAAACGTTTAGGTCTTTTGGTTTCCGCTTGAAAAAATAAAAATGAAAATTATAAATTTTCGTTTTTTCCAATAATTAAAAACTAAAACTTTTCTTGCAAATGAATTTTCGGCATGAAAATGCATAATAACTGAGATTACCATGGTAGAGCTTGAAAAACGGACACCCTGTATTCGTGAAGCCTGATTCTTCGTGTTTGAAATATCAGCTGGATAAATCGAACTATATAGCATCAGCTGAAGAGAAGTAAAGACTGGAGATCAATATGCTAGAAGTCGACTAATTTTCTAGTTTCGTATATTCTATCGATATGTGAAATTTCAGAAAATTTCCGAATTAATACTGAATTTGGTTCAACAAAACAATTTGTCGAATAGAAATACAGTTTCTCTTGAATCAACGAAATATTTCATTGAATCAACAACATATTTCATTGAATTAACCAAATATTTCATTGAATCAACCAAATAATTCATTGAAATATGACATTTTTATTTGCTTCATTCAATTAAATTCTGCTTGATTCAAAAAAAAAATTTTTCTCGGTGTACATTAGGATGTTTATAAAAACTTTCTTTCCTAGAATATGACAACCCTGTGTATCTATAATGATTCTCCACTTCTAGGTATTCAAGGAAGACCTCGAAGACGATGACAAAATCAAGAAGCACCTGTTTTGCGTCGGGGAAAAATTGAAAATCATTGACGACGACAACAAAATCGACCGAGAAGTCCTCAAAACCCAGCTGCGCGAATTTATCACTGAGGATGGCAAAGTAGACGAAATCGTGACCAAGTGTGCCGTGGAAAAAGATGATGCCAAAGAAACCGCATTCGCAGTGATACAGTGTGTCCATGAAAATATTGAAGAATAATTTGTTATGAATTTATAGGCCTGATCTCTTCGATGATTACTTGATTTCGTCTTTGATAGGTGATTGTATGGGTATTCCGCAATAAAACTTCTGAATATATCATCATTCTTTCATTGATGTCAAACTTACAATCATATCATTTAACACCCAATATGACTTTTTTATGTTTATCTTCATTTTGGGCTCTGCCTATTCGATATACACAGGGAGTTAAGGTTTTTAATTTGTAGAAGACCACAGGGGAAAAGGTAGAATGTCACAAAAAGTAAATTTTGAGAAAAACGCACTTCAAAGTTTAAAACCTCCTTACTTTTTTGAAGTTGAAGGAAACTGAAATCAAACCACCTGGATTCATTTGTTGGAGTATAATGAACAATAAAGTTGAACAACTAGAAATTAAAATCATATTTGAATGGAAAAATCATCGAAAACAAAAAATAAGTCCAAAGATTCAAGGAAAAAATGGGGAATATCCAAATAAATTGTGAAAAACTGGATTGTTTACTCGCAATTATCTGCTCTGGTATATTTCTCCATTCTTGCCTGACTACCTAATGAGCGGTAAGTTGTATGTTGTATAGTACAGCTAGCAACTGTATAATTCGATCATTTTCTATAAATCCACGCGATATATGAGTAGGAATCATCATGTAGCAATCTCATTATCAGACGTACTCGACAAGCCCAGTCTACACACCTATTTGTCGTAAACCTCGAAATATGTCAAACAACTCTTTTCCAAAACTCATTTATACATAGAAGGGCAAAGCTTTGTATTTTTTTGCCTAAGAGAGTATTCCCAAGAACTCATTATCTCCAAAAGTTGAAAAAAATCCCAATACCTACCTCCTCTCCGTACCCTCCTTATAGGTACCCACAATGTTCCCCGGTCATTATAGGGATTCCCTTTCGTACGCATATCTTTTTTTTTTTTTCTCATATTTTGTTTGCGTGAGAGTTCACTTTGACCTTTTGACAGTGTGAAAACAACATATTGAAATCACAATGGAATCTGTAGTCAAGCAAGCACAAAGCTTGGACTTTCCCCCTTTCATCACATTGTTGAAGTGGATATTCCGCGTTTTTTCCATGTGAACGTATTTTCTAACGAGCATATTGGCTGACTATGCTGCGTTATTGCTATGGAGTTCTGTTTATTCAAATATATAGTGGTTAGGCTATCAGATGGTGGTTCCCCTTTTTCCCAATAGTTCAATCAATGATGGATGTAAGATATGGTGCGCCTATTCGGCCATTATTACGTATTGAAAATTTCAGAAAAATCACTCGACCTGCCTACTATGATTTCTCTACGTCACAACGAGCGAGACGTTGATTTTACATTTTCCCGCTAGATGGTGATGCTGCTATTGCTGCTGTGACGAGAGGAAATAAAATGGCAAATAGCATTTTAGGTACGCGGAACATATGTAACAGTGGGATTATTCAACTCTGAATTCGAAAAATCTGCGACAATTTCGAAACTGACAGTTGTCATGATTGTGCAATGTCGCCATCTATTAGAAGATCGACGGAACCATTGCTCTTGCTGTTCACCAGAGGTCGAGTAAAATTTCTGAAACAAAAGCGCATCAGTAATTACACCATATCTTACTTCCATCATTGTTCAATCTAATAAAAATATGAAACTCAGAAAAACCGGTGGTGTCCAATGACATTGACCATGAATATCGATGAATTTACCAACTGTGACGCCACTGGAAATATTATTTCGAATCTAATTGCACTAGAAGAAGCTCCGTATCACCATTAACAAAACCACAACGTTTTATTGAAATTGATGAAAAGACAATTGAGAAATGAATAGAAAAAAATATTTTTTATGGAAATATTAATACCCTGTATCTCGAAAACGAAGCAAGTTTTAGGACACATGTTTATATGAACTTCATTTCATAAAATATCACAATGAATCACCAATAGAATTTTTTTTTGTTATTTAGATACACACTGTAGAAGACAAGAAATGAAACGAACTAATACAAGCAGTACATTCTAGCCGAAAAAGATTTTTTCCTGAAGATATTGGCCTTCAAACTATACCTGGATATTTTGTAAATCATTGATCAGAGGTTATCAACAGCAGAACCCAATTTTCCACTTCCGTTAGGATCAGAAAAATTGGAAATTTCAGTGAATTTTGCAATAATGCCAGATAAATTTCCCATTGCTGGAAGATAATCGATATTGATTAGGACATCAGAAACCCAATGGCATCACTTTAAAAAAGAAAACTAAATCTCAGCAGTATGTACCTACTCCTCTTCTATGTGCTCAATCAACATGATGTAGTTACATACATGAACAAAGAAGTGGAAGTGGTTATACGACTTATAATATAACTATGACTCACATATCACATGAAACTTTTTTCAACAATAATTCTCATTATTTTTTTTCAGATTACATGGTAGATAAAAGTAATTAGGGTAATTTATCTGTGCATTAGCTATGATACGATCACTTCTGATTTTGTTTATAAACTCGGCTGACCGTATACGAGAATTGAGGTATTTTTCCATTTGTAAATTAGAATTATCCCCCAGCAGAAATGTACACCGCTTTCCTTCTAGTGATTGCTGTGATCGGAATAGTACAGGTATTTATTTTTTCCACCACCAGCTCTAGAACCTACCATTATTCACTCCTTTTCAAGGCGTGAAGTGTGTTTTTACTATATACCAAGGTAGATTTCGTCATTTTTTGTACCACTAGCTTTACCATGCGCGCGTTGTTTGCTATGTATGTACATTATTTCTAGAAAATATTCTTTCAGATAAATATTCAACAGCACACTATTATTATTTTATTTTCTTCTATTGTTTAGTTTGACTAACCATAAAAGCGTGTTTTCTTAGTTTCTCAAACTACTACATATTCATTTTCTAATTCTTTTCAGTTCGGTAATCTATCTCTTCAGTTTTCTAAACTACTATTTATTTTCTACTTCTTTTCAATTTTGCTATCTATGAAAGCGTGTTCCATTAATTTATCAAAACACTATTTATTACATAGTTCGTTCGACATATTGGATCCGCCATCTTGAATTTTTTAATTATGACGAAGGAATCATAATCTTCAACCCCAAACACCCCAAGATCCTGATTTTGAATAAATTGCGATCATGATTTCAAAACCCGTTCGTCATATTGGATCAGTCATCTCGAAATTTCCAATTTTGACAGAAGAATCATAATCTTCGACCACAAAAACACCCAGATACCAAATTTGAATGGAATCGGATTTTAATTACAAAACTCTTCTGCCATATTAATTAATTTTTTTCTTAAAGGATTCAGTGAAATAGGTCAAGCCATTTACGATTCTATAAAGGACAATTTGGATAACACAATGAACATATAATCACCAGTTATGAAACATTTTACTTGACGCAACTGGTAACGTTGAGTAGGATGTTTCAAAACCCCCGCAGCTTGGAAAAGTATCATATTACATGTCAAAATTAGAAATAGTAATTTTCCTAACAAGTGCGGAAAGTGATTCTTTCCCGCACGCGACTGCCGTTGACACGAACAAGCGTAGGAAATTGATTGATTTGTTCATTTAATTATTCATCCATATAGGAACAACTAACAAGAAGAATATATTCTCTATCTACTGATTATCAGTAATAGCTATTGTGAACTTACAGTTTGACCAGGGCCTACTCTATCTCTAGAGTAGGCCCTGGTTTGACGCATTATGTATAGGTTCATTGCGAGAGCCAGCAGGCCCATAAGGTGTTTGGTCTCTAGGTTTCAGACACTTCTAGGAAATGTTCCAAAAATACTTCTTTTTTATTCGGTATTTTCCGGGGTAAACGCGTGTATAGCTTCTCATACCTCTGTTAAGACTTCGTTGGCAATAACGCATCTGTATTGCATCGCTATAGCTGGAAGTTTTTGATCACATTGTGGCAATTCCACTGAATCGAAGATGACAGTAACGCTGTGTCTGTCACTTCGACAATTACAAACTCATTTGAGGTTTGATTGGCATGACAACAATAATCGTTTCCCTCCAGATCAATCAAAATCTATACGGGGGTTTTTATAATAATCAATTTTTATTTTTCAATATTTCCAAATTTTCACTATAAATAGTACAATTTGATGGATGATTCTGAATATACATACTTGATACTGCAACAAACAAACTCAAACTCTCATATTCCATCACCTACCACTTATATTTTGCTATACTATCATATCTTTGTTTTTCCCGCACTAGTGCGGAAAAAATTTTCCCGGAATGTTGCCGGAAAATTACACTTCCCAAACTAAATTGCGTGCGGGTATAGGGAAACTCACGCAAACTGGTAGAAAAATATATTTTCATCATGATGACAGTATATAACAACTGAAATTTCAAGTAATTTACGTCGGTTTTCATTAAAATACAGATTGATGCATACATTGGCGTGATGACATTGTTTCAAGTGAAACACACACTACCTATAGGTATTATTGATTTCTGAAAATCGCCATAAAATAGTAAATTTGAACAAACATACAACTTCTGAATCTATCAGGATGATTTCGGAAACAAACGTATTTGTTTGATGTGACGAAGGGGCCATTGGAATGGACTGCTCAATCACCCGATCTCAATCATATTGAATATTTCTGTGGTCATATTTGTAGTCGAAGTTTTAGGTCGAATTGACCACTCGATATTCAGGATTCTGGATCTGCATGTGTAAATTCATGATACCTGTTTGCAATTAGAATATAACGGAGATTCTGAAGAACAATGGTATGAGGTCGCTGAAGTCATCACTATAATTCGAAAAACCCTGAATATATTGGAAATATTTTCGGAAATACGGTAAAATGAAATAGAGAATGGGATGTATCGTACATTATATGACGAGTTTGGCTGCAACATGAATTTATGCCAACAACTCAAAAAGATGCAATACTCCATTTTTCTAGCTATCCACTTCAATGTAATTTATCTGCATTTCATTTGATTATTTGGGATTTCCTCTTCTCGTTTCTATAAAATGGAAATATAAAATATGAAAAATTAAAAAAAAAAGTGAAACTATGAATAGTTAGTCAATTGGGCGGCCTGATTCCGAATCCGAAGTGATTTTCAACCCATATTGACTCCTAATATCATTTTCCGGGAATTGGGGTGGTTCCATGGCTGTTGGCGAGCAGTTTATATCACTGGAGATGACCCCACTTGGTCATAGAGTGCATTTTTGGTGAAGTCTATGCAAAGTCAGTTGGAACAACACATAATACCGCGGACTGTCGGTCTCTTTGGAAGTTCAAAGAGAACGGCAGCGCGTCCCGACATTCCTTCGATGATCTGTTTCAATTGACTTTGCATGAACTATATATTCAGCAAATTTCAGGATCCTTACCCAACGAATACGTAAAATACAGGGGTGTTTTCATTAGAAGTGGGTCACACTGTATGTGTAGTAGGACAAATCAGATGATTTGTTTCAAGATGTCACTGTAATCAACACATTTTAAAAAAAAACTTCAATAGCTTGCAAGTGACAATTTGTTTGAAAAAAGTTTTGAAGTTTGAAGAAAAGGAATATAGATATATCGAAAATATATCGAAATTTTAATTTTATTTTGGCATTTCGGGAACGAATCTGCTCCTGTTATCAACATGCAAATGCAAAAATATTTTTCTTTGAAAGTTGTACTCTTATAGTTTGACACTTTTCCTGGAGAGAAGTTGAAATTCGAAATTTTTCCAATATAATCTATATTTCTTTTCTTCAAACATTTGTCCAAACAAAGTGTCACTGGCAAGCTATTGGATTCTTCTTTTAGGCTCCCCAATTTATGTGCTTCTGAATTGACTAATTGACTATATTGACTTTCTCTGGAAATTTCAGGCTGGAGTTTTGACCAGCGAGCAAAAAAAGAAAATCATTGATTTGGGCAAGGAATGCCTAAAAGAGTCCAACGCAGACATGGATGTCGTGATGGATGCTGCTAAAGGCGTATTCGCGGACGATCCTAAACTCAAAAAACAAATCCTCTGTTTCAACAAGAAAATCGGAGTACAGGATGCGGATGGGAAACTCGTGAAGGACATGATCAAAACAAGATTGACAGCTGTCACCGAGGATCCCAAGAAAACCGAAGAGATTATGAAAAAATGCATGATCGAGCAGGATACGCCTGAAGATACAGCTTTCGAAACGGCGAAATGCCTGCACACGTTTGCACCAGAAGAAAAAGTTTTAGAATGAACCAGGAATTGATTAAATAAAATTCGGAGTGAACAGCTTGTTGGTTGCAGATAATATATCATCCAAAAAATAATATCAGCTATTCTTATTTTCCTGAACTCATTTATATGAAAACAGTTTTACACTGTTTAGCTATATTTTTTGCAATCTAGAATGTCCATCTTCTTTTTCTTCTTCGAAGCACTGGTGGGCGGGTGAATACCCTTGCACGTAGGCCTCCTTATTCGGGCCCATTGTGCGCCCACATGTTCCGACTTTCAGCTGGGTATGTCGACTTCCTTGGAGAAGTTCAGCAGCTTTCTTAGCTGAATCTCTGTCACGTCCTCTGGCCTCAAAATTATGTTGCCGAGGACAGCCCTTCTTTGATGTGTCAGTGCTGGGCACTCAGTGAGGACATGCGATGACGTTACGTCATCTGCCATGCACCATCTGCAAAGGAGATCATCTTTGACTCCAATAAGCTCTAGGTGCCTATTGAGGTGGTTGTGCCCCGTTAGGAGCCCCACTATCATTTTAAGGTCTCGCCTGTTGAGGGATAAAACCTCTTCTGTGAGCCTCTTCGGAGGTTCCTTTATGTGGAGCTTCGATTGTCTCATTCCTGGTGTGTCCTGTCATATTTTGAGGAATTGTTTTTGCAGCTGCCCCTCTATGGAGGACATTGTCAGACTGTTTGGTATTCCCAAGATTGGTTCCAGTCCCACCGGGGTCCGTCCTGAACCGATCTTGGCCAGTCTGTCTGCCTCCTCATTTACGGGTATCCCCGAGTGTCCCTTATGAGGCTGACATTTCTTGATTTTGTCAGATTTTCCAAGACCTTTCTGCACTCGGACACCAAATTTGCGAGTTCTTCAGCCTGGAACACTGAGGCATATTCGCCCAAAGGAACCAAGATTTCCTTTCTTGTTCCTTCATTGTATACCCCAGCATCTGAACTGCCCCTAAATTTAGAGCCATCCTTGTACGAGATTGGCTCATTGGGAGGAGGCACGCCAGGTGTCATTCCATTCCTCCCTCGTAGGGATGACACTGTCCATTGGAATGATTCAAATGATTTCCATTCTCGAACTAGACCAATTCAGAAATATTCTAGCAGCAAAAAATGATCCAATCGATGAATTCATTACGAATATTTAGTATTGCTGTTCGTGATCAAATATTTGAATAAGTCCGAACTGAAAAGGAAATGACAGGAAATCAGAAGAAGAATGAATAAACTTCTGAAAAAAAAAACATGAACAACCGAATAATTTCCAAATTTATATTAATTACAAGCAATCAATTAATCAACGAATACAACGAAAACAGCGTGGGTAGAGTTGAGTCGGGGATTACGGAATACCGTTTAAATTTTTTGAGTTATTTCGGAAAGTATTGAATGAAATATAAATTTGAAATGGTGATATTACGGCCGGAAGATTTATTAGACCGAATTATGATAACAAACTTAGATAAATATGAGCAAAAAATTATATTTTGGATTATTGATGAATACTACATTTCTGTTGGCCGACAAAATCGGGAATGATGTTATCGTTCTCAGCATCGGCACACAGTTCGTGTGCCCAAAGCTTGCATCTTAGGCTTCTTCCTTTCTTATGAAAGAATGGATATATCCATTCTTCTGCTTCTAACTGCTATCACTGCGCTTTTCTCATCTTCCTCATTCCACTTCTGACTTTGTGAAGTTCTGGTTCGCATTGTTTTTCATCACTGCTTTTCTTTAATTCACCCCCTTTAATTTTTTAAACGAGTCGAATGAAAAAATTGAAACTTATTCAGGCAACTATTAAATGTCTCGCCATTTTGTAGTAGGTGAAGATATTGTCATGTAGTATAAAGCCTAATGAAATTTTCATCTATCTGAATTCAAACAAAATCATTCTCAATAAAAAACATAAATTTCAAATCCATTGTATTGCATGCATACCTAGACAGGAACTAAAGTCTCCTATTATAACTAATATTTCCATATCCTGTATGAACTCAGATTGAACGGAAAATAACCTCTTCAAGATAATGAAACATTACTAAGAAGTATATAGTTTCCAATAAGGTTGAATAATGTGAACTCATTATACAATATCTCTTTTATATTACCTATGAATGAATTGTAGCTCTTGCTAATAATATTTTTACTACTTTTAGTCAACATTATATCCTCAACAATGTCTCAAAAATATTTTTCTATCACAGAATGCCATTTGTCGTGAGTATTTAACCATTAATAAATATTATTATATTTACCCATTTGAATAACACATTAAAAAACCCCATAATATTAAACACGAACGATTGAACCCATTTGTTTTTATGTGCAAGCACTTTTCATGTTTACGTAAGGGGTAAAACAGTTGGCAATTGTCTATACTTACTTACTATACTCAAAAGGATTCAACTATACAGGGTGTAATCGAATTAGGTGCAATCAATGAAGTGGGTTATAGATGACAAAAAATGAAACAAACTGAAACACGTTGTACATTAATGAGTCGAAAAAAAAAACTTTTTGAAGATAGTATTGAACTTTAAACTATACCTGGATATTTTGTTATAATTATTGCTGTGGAGGAGAATCGATATTGATTAGAACATCAGAATCATATTTTGTTAATTGTTGTTGTTCTAAAATTGTTCTTATCCGTCATTCGGTTGCCTCCTTACACTAAAAATAAAACACTTGAATACCAATGACTATTGAATGCATCAATGGCATCAGTTACAATTCCTGGAAAACTAAATCCTAAATCTAAGCACCTACCTAGGTAGCAATACTCTCTCATTTGTTCATAAAAACATGATGTAGTTACATAATTGAACAATGAAGTGGAAGTTGTTATGCGACTTATAATATAACTATGACTCACATATTACATGAAACTTTTTTTAACAATAATTTTCATTATATATTTTTTAGATAGAAGTAATTAGGGCAATTTATCTGTGCATTAACTGTGATCTGAATTTGTATATAATATCGGCTGTCGGTATACAAGAATCGAAGTTATTTTTAATTAAATTTGTAAAATAAGAATTATCTACTAGCAAAAATGTACACCGCTCTCTTGCTAGTGATTGCTGTTATCGGAATAGTAGAGGTAATTTATTTTCTCAAGAATTTCATGTTGAATTCATGGTACCTATATCGAATTGATTTTATTTTTTGTCCTATTTACCTAACTGTGGACAAAGTTGAAAATTCACTATGGACAATGTGGAAGATACTGAAGAGTTCACAGTAAATATCAATTTTTATCAAACTTCATACTGAAAAAAAAAGAAAAAATACGAGACAAAGTGACATTTTTCATTCGAGATTACTTTTGAGCATAATTTTTGTCTCATATTGAGTGTTTATGAACTGTGTACATCTCAGAATATATTTTGGCGAGAAAAATACTCACCAAATTGATTATGATAATTTCAATGAATATTGTATTGAGGATTTGTGGGTACCTGGTGAGTACAATATTTTGCTTGTTAGTTTGAGATCTCCTTCACATGTATCCCGTTTGACAACAGGATTATGGATGACCCAATGAACATTACATCACCCAGTTATGAAACAGTTTAATTTACGTAATACTGGTTACGTTTACTATAGGATATTTCAAGACTTCCGTCAGTTTTGAAAAGTGTAAAGTCGGGAATTATGGACTATATTAGCACAGTTGAGAGAATATTGTATATATTCTCTCAACTGTGATATTAGGTAATATTGAATACCCCATTTTTGACGAAACTACAAGCGACACCTATTTCAATTTGATATAATATCATTCCATTGAATGCATAGTTGTTCCAAAAGTGTTTTTATAGTTAATTCTATAGGTATCTTTCGTTTATGGCAGTTATTATAGTTGATTGAATTTTGGTGCTTACGAATTTTTTTAGGTTACTTTATTACATTTATATTTGGAACACATTTGGAAGTGATTTCATTTCATATTATTGTTTAGTTGAGTAGATGAATGATGTATGAAAGGTCCATTGTAGAGATGTAGCGCCCATTTTAGATAATTTGTTAACTATTTCACCTCCGAAGTAATACAGGCGGCTTATGTGTTCCATATTACCCGAGTTGAGATGAAAAAAGTGCAGTGATAGCAGTAAGAAGCAGAAGAATGGATATATCCATTCTTCTGCTTCTACCATCCACTATAGTGGATATCTGAATAGTGAATACAAAGCCTAAAATTCAAGCTTTGGGCACTATTTTCTACCTACCAGAGCTATTGAACGTTCCCAAATTTGCATTTTATTTGAATTCACTATTTTTCCGAGGCTGAAAATGAAAAAAATAAGCCAATTCTATTAAATTGGAATGAGGTGATTTTTTGTATATGGAGGTACGAAAGCATGAGGAACAATGATATGATGTTAGGTTTCTAGCAAAAACATTCCTAATATGATTTCATAAAAATCGAGATCTTTTTATTTCAATAAAAAACACGGCACAGTCCAACAGGATGTCCGTCTCTGAAAAACTGATTATATTGATGACTTCTCATACCAATCCCAATTTGGTAAAGATCACACGTGTGATAGCTGAGATATAGAGGGGGAGGGGCTTGAAATGAGACACACTGTAGATTCGTTGATGTTGAATATTTTTCATAAAACTTGGTCTAATTCAGACGACGCCGTTTCCAGAGGTGTACGTGGATTTTCTCTAAAGAAATCGCTAATAAGGATTCTGGATTTTTCAGCCTCTGAATATGATCTAGGGCCTTTGTTTTTGAAAAAAATGGACGCCACTTTTTGGCTCAAAAATCGCTTCATATATAACAAATTGATGAGGGTGGTTTCAAATGGGCCACTCTGTATATCCGACACACTCAACTTCTATCAGGTTGATCAAAATTTCTAAAACAAACGTACTTTTTTTTATCTGAAGAAGACTGCTCATTCACCCGATCTCAATCCTATGGAATATTTATGTGGTCATATTTGAGGTCGAATTTACATGCCAAAATATATCGTCTGATTGAGAAATTTGTGGAAATCTTATCGTTTGTGAAGTTTTTACATTTGTCAAGGATTTATATCAAGTAACGGCCGAGTCAATTCAAAAAGAGTTACATGCCAAATTGACAACTTAATATCGAGGATTCTTGATCTGCATGTACACATTGTTTACTCATGTTTCCAATCACAATTATACGGAGATTCCGAAGAACAATGGTATAAAAGATGTACATATACTTTAGCATGAGTTGTTGGTTCATATAACGGTCAATAATAATAATAATAATAATAATAATAATAATAATAATAATAATAATAATAATAATAATAATAATAATAATAATAATAATAATAATAATAATAATAATAATAATAATAATAATAATAATAAGGAGGAGGAAAAACGGACTAAATATCGATATCTTCTCTTCGAACTCCGCCGGCTCTATCCAGACCATTCTGTGGAATTGGTCATCCTGATAATCGGCTCCCTAGGAGGCACACGACACACGCTGCTCTCGGAGATCCAGAAAATCCCAGCGTGCCGTGATAAGGCACACATCCTGGCTGGTGGAATGCAGAAGGCCGTCATACTGGGATCATTGCGTCTACTCAGGGCACACGGTACTTGGTCCCAGTGATTACTCACCTCACAGGCTGTGAGGAGTAGTCACTGGATTTTATCCAGCACGACTCTGCGTGACGTCGGAGGCCGCAGGGTCGTGACTGGAATTATATGAATTTAAAATAATAATAATAATAATACATTTATTGTTCATCACATGTGGATATACATTATATAGATATTGCATATATATATTTCGATAAACAATTGGCATCTAGGTTCAGAAATGTGGTACGCATCCACTTCTGTTCTTCCACCATTGCCATTCGGATGAAGGATAAAAAGAAAATCAGTTGGCAAGTATATCATTGGTATATAAAAGGGGAAAAAAGAGGACAGAAAAGAACAAAGAAGAGAGAAGAAGATGGAGGAAATAAGGAAGAAGTGAAATAAGAGTAACTTTCGGCTATTGAGTGTCCAGAAGAATACTTTTATATTTGATTTTGAATGAGGTTTGTGATCTATTGAGGAGAGAGGGGTCTATGTTGTACAGATTGTTGATACTCGATGCAATATCAAAGGAAAAAGACCGTTCAAATATAGTTTTGGAGTGACTTGGAATTGTTAAAATGGTTTGACGCCTTATATTTAGGTTATGCACATCCGTTCGAATAAATAGGGCGGAGTTTTGGTAAGAATCAAATTGTGATAGAAACAACCCATGTAATGTAGCCTTCTGTTTTTCATATTAGGCCAATTTAACTCCTTCAGTTTATGAGAAACTCCCTCTCGTTTTTTTATACCATAAATAAGCCGAATACAACAGTTCTGGACCATTTGAACTCGACGAATATCAGTATTATCTAGACAATGTCCATATACAATGACAATGTCACAGTGATTGAACTGCGACAGTATTAATGTATCACATAATTTTTTTTAGTTTGTAATGGAAGGTAATGTCTCTGTGGATATAATCATTGTAGGGGTATTTCCAAAAATTAATAATTGAAAATTGATATTGAAAGTAAAAACAAATGTATTGCATTGCATTACTCACTTTTTCTACCTATCCACTTTATTGTAATTCTTGTGCTTCTGAATTGACTCTACTGAGTTTCTCTGGAAATTTCAGGCTAGAGTTTTGACCAGCGAACAAAATAAGAAAATCATCGATTGGAGCAAGGAATGCCTCAAGGAGTCCACCGTAGACATGGATGTCCTGCTGGATGCTGCCAAAGGCGAATTCGCAGACGATCCTAAACTCAAGAAGCATATCCTCTGTTTCAACAAGAAGATCGGAGTTCAGGACTCTGACGGGAAAATCGTTATGGACAAAATCAGAGCCCACTTGACTGATGCCACCGGGGATCCTAAGGAAACCGAAGAGATTATCAAAAAATGCATGATCGAGCAGGATACGCCTGAAGATACAGCGTTCGAAACGGCGAAATGTCTGCATCAGATGATACCACATGAAACAGATTCAGAGTAATACAGGAACTGATTGAATGAAATGAATTCGGAGTTATAGGTTTTAGATAATATATCATTCAAAAAATAATATCAGCTATTTTTTTTCCTATGCTATATTTCCCATTTATATAATATCCTGACGAATTTTCATCAAATCTATTTCAAACTGAGAAGCTATATTTTTTTGCAATATATTTAGAATGCCCATTGGAATGATTCAAATGATTTCCATTTTCGAACTAGAGCAATTTAAAAATAACGAGTATTTTAAGCACGAGCGGAGCGAGTTTTTAATAAACGAGTGTCTAGAAAAGTTTATGAACGCGTTACATACTATGCTTTTTCTATGAACTCCGAAAATTACATTAACATACCTGCTATTCCTGCTAACCTACAAATTAATTCGAAAGGACAGGGAATAGAGAACATAATACATGCAACTGCATGCAACCAGCGAGACACGTATAAAGTGATATTGGTTGTAACCTTTGTTTCACGTTTATTGTCATGCTTAGCGCAAAATAAATAAATTGTTCTCAAAGATGGATGCTTCATTTTTACACTTCTTGGAGATATATTATGCAAGTACCAGAACCAGAAAATTCTCTTCGATTTCACTTTCGTCTACTTTTCGCATATATTTTTAATGAAGAATTCTGATACAAACGAATATTGTTTGAACAATTCTGATACAAAATTCGAAAATAACAGTTGACAGTTAATACAATTGATAGGCCAGACATGTCTCAAATTACCGAAGCTGTGTTTGATGAACTGTGTTGCCATGGTAATGTGTTTAAGAAATCGTGTTAACATGGTAACGTGTTTGATATTTTGAATAAATCACAGTTAGTCAATCCGTGATTAATCGATCATTTAGCGTGGTACATATCCGTACGCTAAATGCCATTTTAGTTATGTGAGTAGAAAAACCAAATTATTTTTTGAAAATTGATTCTTAAGTAACGAGTACGGAAAGAATGAAAAATGCGTATACAATGGTTCATTATAAACTTCACGGACAATTAAAAAACTGAATATAAAAAATTTCCGCATAATATTTTGCCAGGATATGCGAAGGATTTGAAGATAATATGAATACGATAATGATAGCCATCTCCTGTTTGCTATTCGTTGTTAGCCTAATTACATAATTGATTGATAATAAATAATATGTTTGTTGGTACCTAGATATATACATACATATTCATATAAAAGATCTCAATTTCTTGTTGAATATCGAGAATTAATTATAATCAACTAGTTTCCTTGATCTTGATAATGAAAAAATTGCAAGATGATTTGCATATTATGTAATATTATCCACAGCAGTGGATGTTTCAGAGGTTACTCTTAGATATAGGTGTTATTCTGGTTTTCGATTACATCGTCAATATGATAAAATATGCATAATATGAGGGTATTAATATCCATAGGTATCGATGAATAAGAGACAATGTCAATAAAGACTTGGAATAATGTGTTTTGGCAGATATTTGTTCCATTAAAATAGTTTTTTTTCTGCAACCGACACAAAAGTCGTCCATTTTGATGCCAAAATTAGCTCTTAAATTGACGTTTCTATTACTGACACAAAAATAGGTATGTTGCTAGGCAACATATTTAGTTCCTAGGAGCTAAAGTTGAATTTTAGTTCCTAGGAGCTAAAGTTGAACTTTGGCTCCTAGGAACTAAAAAGTATCTACTGGACGTCATCAAGAATAAACAACATTGTGACGGTTGGTTATTTGGGTTGAGACGCATACCTCTGATTTGTCTCCGATTTCAGCAGATTTGGCATTTCATACCCATGCTGTAGATATAAATTCACCTTATTATAGTTTAGTATTGGAATAATAAACATCTCAGTTAAGTATTTTTGTTTCGATCAGGGAAGCCTTCAAGATTCAAATACTTGCTTGATCTGTATCTCATTCGTTATTCTCGGGATGGATGGATAACTTGTTTTTGAATAATCACGGCAAGCAATAGTTTTTTTTGTCTCAAACAACGATATTGTTTAGCTTCATTTGATTATGAAGTCAAACACTGTGTAGTATGGAGAGAAATAAATAATCACTATTATCATTGTTGATATGCTCACTAACCTAACATTTTCCACGTCTTGTTCCTATAGCTGGCACTGGCGCAGTATTTGCCATTAGAGCACCTGGTCCATACACAAATATGTCACTCTGTGGTTGTATTTATATTGAAACTACAATTCGAACATCCTAGAATACCTAACCTGCTGTTAATGCAGGTAGAATATTCTCACCACATTGATTACATACACATACATATGGCACGGCATTGGTGGTTACTTCACATGTTTATTTGAGTTGATTGTTTCGGTTGCAGAAAAAATAGCATGTTTCATTCGGATCAAAAGTGACTTTGTTCGACTCGCAAATTTTGCTTTCGCTCGGCTTCGCTGAACGCTCCGCCTCGCAAATGCAAAATTCGCTTGTCAAACAAAGTGTCACTTTTGATCCTAATAAAACAATCTACTATTTATTATTCAAGGAAAAAAAAGTAGTAGATTTTAGCTCCAGGTTGTGTTGTCTCCCGACGTGTAGCGGATCGAGACAAAAAACCGTGAGCTAAATTCTATTATTTTTCCCGTGTATAATACACTTTTTTTTCATTATATCAAAATCAGAAAATTATGGACGTGAAATTTGAAGTTTTTAACAGGAATGACACCTGCGTTGCAGCCATCTTTTTGCAGGCATTTTTATCATTCTCTATATACAGTGAGGACGTAAAAAGTCCTCCCCCCCCATTTAACCTTTGAACGGAACAAGCTAGCGTCACTAGAGCTTAGCCATAGCACCAGTGCGAGAATATTGCGCCTGGTGCGCAGGTCGCTGGGCGCGAGAAATTGACTAGAGCCTAGCCATAGCACCAGTGCGAGAATATTGCGCCTGGTGCGCAGGTCGCATGAATGACTTCATCATACTTTTTTCTTGAAGAAGGAGAATTTTTCTTGAGGAAGGAAAATATTGTTTCTGCATAAAAAATGAGAAAACCTAACCTATCTATTTTATGAGTATATCTGTACTTGTTTCGTTGACCTGTGTAAAACTTGATGTTTATTAACACCAAATAAAATATTCTAGAAGGAGAATTTTTCTTGAGGAAGGAAAATATTGTTCCTGCATAAAAAATGAGAAAACCTAACCTATCTATTTTATGAGTATATCTGTACTTGTTTCGTTGACATGTTTGTGTAAAACTTGATGTTTATTAACACCAAATAAAATATTCTATTCTATTCTAACCTAACCTAACCGAACCTCACCTCTGGCCTAAACATAGAAAACCCCTAAATGAACCTATTTCCCATAGAGAATATTTTTTAGAAATCACTTGAGAACAAGAAAAAAATAAAAAAAAGATGAGCCTCGCACGGATTCGAACCCCGGCCCGCCGGCTTGGCATGTCGATGCTCTGCTTACTGAGCCAACCAGTTGCTTACGAGACGAAGTATGATGAAGTCATTTATGCGACCTGCGCACCAGGCGCAATATTCTCGCACTGGTGCTATGGCTAAGCTCTAATGCTAGCGTCGGGTAAAATTCAGGCAAAAAAAGTACCTCTTTCACTACTATTTGGCATGACAATGGTTGTGGTCACGTGACCTAGTATCGAGTGGGCACCATCAACTTTTTTTTTTCAAATATGAAGAGGAGTCACGTGGTACCTTCAAATATTAATATTGATGTATAAACAACCTAAATAACTTTCAATTGCAACAAAATTTCAAGTAGGAATTGTAACAAGTGCTCAAACATGCTCGAAATGTTTATCGTTCACTCATTGACACGAAAAAATCGGGTTTGGAATTCAATCCGAACGTGATTTACTATTTCCGAGGTACATTTCGAACGCTTGTCGTTTTGAGACGGCTTGACCGATTTGCACAAACAAAGCGGAGTTGCATAGAGAATCGAACGGCCTTTGAAACAAGGTACCACGTGACCCCTCTTTATAATTGAAAAAAAAAAGTTGATGGTGCCCACTTGACATTAGGTCACGTGACCACAACCATTTTCATGCCAAAGAGTAGTGAAAAAGGTACCTTTTTGTCTGAATTTCAGCCGACCTCGCTAGCTTGTTCCGTTCAAATAAGGTTGACGGGGGGAGGAATTTTTACTTCCTCACTGTAAATAATAAATAAAGTACTCACTTTTTATCCCGTGGGATAACAGTAATTTATGAAAAGTTACATTCCATAACCTGTCAACAGAGATGAAATTTCGAACTTGTTTCCTGTCACAGAAAAAAATAACGACTTTGTATTCTGACAATACGACAACTAAAATAGTTATTTATTATACAAGGGAAAAAAGTAGTAGATTTTAGCTCCAGGTTGTGTTGTCTCCCGACGCGTAGCGGAGGGAGACAAAAAACCGTGAGCTAAAATCTAATATTTTTCCCGTGTATAATACACTATTTTTTTCTGTGGCAGAAGGAAGGACGAATCAATATTGAGGAGATATTACATTATTTCGAAATCTTAAAATTATCGACGTCAAATTTCATGTTTTTAACAGTAGGGACACCTGCGTTTTATAGACATCTTTATCATTCTTTTGAAGTAATCAAATATCTGATGTCACTTCTGTCAGTTCAATTCTGTGATTTGATTTTGAAAAATTGCGAATTCAGTAGTTGTTTAGTAATATACGAAACCGCGAAGTCGAATGGAAGATAAAAGGACTTGCAGTTCTTTCTCGGAGACGGTATTATTGACTCATTTTTCGGAACTATAGCACAACAAAAGCCATTAACAGAGTATATATATGTGATATATATCCGGGAAAAAAGTACTCACTTTTTTCCCACGGGAAAAAAGTAATTTATGAAAAGTGACATTTTATAACCTGCCAACAGAGATGAAATGCCAAACTTTTTTCCCGTCACAGAAAAAAGAATTTTTTTCTGCAACCGACATAAAAGTAGTCTATTTTGATACCAAAATTAGCTCTTGAATTGATGTTTCTATTACTGACCCAAAAATAGGTATGTTGCTAGGCAACATATCTAGTTCCTAGCAGCTAAAGTTGAACTTTAGTTCCTAGG